TTTGACGGCCTCATACGAAGGAGTGTTATGCTCTCGCGTATGGAGTGGGCAAATATATAACGCTAAAGTTCTAAATTTGGTGCTTGAACAGGGAGCAGGGAGTTTTCTCATCACAAACCTCAACAACTCTACTTTGTACTTCGTTCGAAGCGAAGACCCAAAGTAGGGCGTTGTTTAAAGTGATGGCCTGATAGTGTACTTCGTGCGCCCGAGACCTCACCTCCACAAGGAATGGACTGTTGGAATGTAATTTCCAGCGGCAGACCTTCGACGAATATTCGATGCAGGAGGGCAAGGACTAGTCCCTCTGGGGAGATGTAACCATATTACGTGTGCGATCTCGGCATTGGGCTTGATGAGGCAGGACAAACAAATCAAACAGAAATTTTTTTTCATTAAAATTAGACACTGCACAGAGTACATTAGTGTGCCAGGGCAGACCTAATGAATAGAGGCCCACTCTCCTGAGACTGGCATCAACAATCGTCGTCCGCTACAGATGAGCATTGAATAATTTTAGGGGTCCAGATTTTTTTTTTCCCTGTGCATTTCCCCTAATTAACGCCATGTGCGTTTTGAGCCGTGTGCATTTCAGGGAAGGTTGGCGCATGGATGAACAGATAGTCAAGGCATCAAAATTAGCATTATTGATCCTTACGAGGTACGGAGGTTTACAAAGTTGAACGAGATACACAGGTAATATCATCCAGGTTCCGGCGTACCAACTCGCGTCTCAGTTACTGTATCGGTCGATGTGGTAGAGAACCCGTGTCCCAGACAGCAAGGAATGTGTACGTCTTAAACCAAATGCCGTAACTTTAGATTTGGCCGTTCGTGCCGGTGACGTGACGATTATCCACGTATGCTAACTGTTAGAGAGGGAATGTTGATCTCAGCAACAATGAACCAAGTGAGCATCGGACCCACATATGAGGAACAGGAACGACAACAATTTTGGATGGACCAGACTTTTGCTGGGCGCTTGTTGTGAGAGCGTGGGTCCTGCGCATAGTGTGTTGGATTCAGGAAAATAACCTGGAAAACTGCTTAAGAAACTTGGCAGAGTGCCTTAGTATTATCTCTTAAAATCCCGTCGCCGCATTGCTGACCATGGTTGGCTTGGCTGGCCAAGAAAAGGCTTCAAGAAGTGCAATGTAATGTGTAATAAGTCCAGTGTAAGTGTAGAACAGTGCTGTACTTCGTATTGTGCTGAACAATGTGATTGACTGACCACGGTGCGTTTCAGTCTTTTAGGGGGCTTGTCCTCAACCTCAGTTCAATCAATTGACCAAGTCAATAGTCAACAGACAGCGGAATGAATCAATCAAAATTAGGTGTACGAAGTACTTCGTACCCTGTCCTCTGCCAAATCCTTTCAGCTTAATCGACACCCCCATGTGGCCTCGGGGCGGAGGAAGACCCACACGCCCCACCCTAATTCCACGCCCCCCCAGTTGCCATTTTGCGCTGGGCAACAAAGTACAAAGTCCCAATGTACTGATTTTAGAGAGGTACCTGACCTGGGGACATGGCTTGGCACGACACCCCCTTTCCCTGTAACTCAATTGTCTCGTACGAGCCTTGGCCAGGCACTTGCTTTCGCGCTGGGTTTTGGCAGGCACCTCTTTTTTCTTTATTCTACTCTTCACCCCACCCCCGGTAATCTCGTCTTCTATACATAAGGAGCGATCATCTCCCACCATCTGACCTTGTTCATTCTTCTCTCTCAGCATTCAGACATTGTGAAGTATATATATCCTTCGAAGATCCTCCAACCTTCAGACGATCAAGTCAACTGGCTCTACTCAACTACTACTCTCTCCACTTACACCAACACAACAGACACTCATCTGCTCAAGACTTACACACATCCACACACCGACCAACCAACCAACCCACAAGACCACTTCTCGAGGAACAGATACCCTCGACAACTCTTCCAATTAACCGCACTCCAAACAAACAATCACAATGGCCGTTTCCGCCGTCTACGAGATGCCCGCCCAGCGACCTTCTCAGCTTCCTCCTTGCCCCGGCCCCCCGCCGAGCAGGCCCCTCCCTCCTCTTCCCAAGAAGAGTTAAATGGGAGAGTATGGAGTCCACTGCCTCTACCGCTTTCTACTACTCGCCTCTCAGCAACACTTTCTTCGGAATCGTTCCCTGATCTTATCGCACCCTGGTCTACAACACATCGGCTTGCGTTTGCGCCTTTCTCTACCGTCCTTTCAACAGTCTTCCTCTCGAGTCTAAACAAGTTTCCAACCGTCCGAGTACCAACCACCGCCCCGACAGGAGATGTTTTAAAGGCGGTCAATATTGGAAGGCTACCCTTCGTCCCCCGCGTTGAATTATTAACTCTGTGATGTTGATAATGCTGCGGGGGGTGCGTGGGTCCTTGCATGCATCCTCATTGATTGGTTTACGCAGGCAAGTCCCAGCCGAGCCATAGATGAACAAAGAGAGCGGCATGCTGCAGCCTGCAGCACGGAAAATCCCCAACCCGCCTCTCTCGACTTGGAGCACTGGATGAAACATTACGCGCCCTGTGGACTCGTACACGCGGCTGCGCTCCCTGCTTCCCCTTCCTGCCGGTTATGCACTCTTCGACATATCCTACCCGTCGCTACAATACGCTTTATAATGCTGCTTATCGCACTTATCTTTACATCGGTTTTAATCATTTGCGCTCTGCATCCGTCTTTATCTCTTTTACTTTTTTGGAGCGGGGTGTTTCATTGGAGGGTCTCGACCCTACATCTGTATTATTACACTCGGAGAGGATGCAGCTACTTCCTCTTGTTCTCGGGCCTTGCCCGTGGCGGGGAGGGGCATCTTTTCATCTTCTTGGATACCCCATTTTACTATCATGCGCATTTTTTTTCTTTCTTTTTTCTTTCGCAATTGGATATGAGTCAGGAGAAATTGTTGAAGTGATTGGATGTTAATGATTTGGACCAGCATTGATGGTCTGGGGATATAGAAAAATTCGGATTGATTTGGGAATATTGGCCCCCAGGAGTTTGAGAAACGCATTGATGTACTATAAGTCCGCTCTTAATGGGCGTTGACAATGGAATTGCTTTTTCCTTTGAATTTTAATACACGACACGAGGATTATCATCCCCAAACTAAAATATTCCTTCGCAATGGGCCGTGCTTCTTAATTTCTTGATTTATGCTCTTGCACGGTATTAAAGCTGTGTGACATCTTGAAGCATTCTTAGCAAGCTGCCAAACAGCTTATGGGCCGAGGCTCGCGGGCCCTTGATGCAGCCCTTCCGATCCGCGCATGCGACCTTGAAGACGACCAGCTTTCGAGGCCGCGTACGCGCTCGCCAGTTTCGACGCCGGGTAATCCGATGACACCTGTATCAAACAACCGGAAACGATGAAGTCTCCCCCTCGAAAGATACTCACGAACACGCACGGTTGCAATATGGAATGACGCCCTAACCGCGTACGACTGTGGCAGCTATATTTGGGCCAGGGCCATACTTAGCACAGCTTACGAAGTTTGTTTCTTGACTTCTTTAGCAGATTTAAACGCTTATGGAGAGCTTCCAAGTTGAGCTCCTTACAGCCCGGCTTGCATGTTTTTTTTTTTTTTTTTTTTTTTTTTTTTTTTCGTTTGCTGCCCCTTAATGTCCCAACCTGGCACGGACGGTAGCCAAGCGCATTTTTACTCGCTCTGCTAATGGACTTGTCAGCGCCTAGGATCGAAGCGAGTGCACTATTTGACGTCCCCCGCACTGATCCCCAGAGGAGTGGACGCTTGCTGCCAAGAAAGGAATCATCTTGGCATACGACTCGTTTATCTTTCTCAGTCCGTAAAGAGTGAAAAGAGTGCACATAGCCGAGTAAGACAGGAACGCCCTCAAGGGGATTATGATGAGGCGGATCTGTCCTAGTAAACCCTATCAAGGCCCGGGTGAGAAACGGACCCTTCGGATTGGGGATAGTTTTGGCTGGGGGAGACGGGGCGTCCGACGAGGCGCTCGCTGCCGATTCCCCTTTCGAAGCTGTTCTCGGGTAAACCGCAAGGGGTGGAACAAGGGCAGGCGGGCTAAAGACAGATCAAATGGGCGATAATTTGCTAAAAAGACACGGCGTAATGTGCAAGTACAAAGGTTAATCCATGGAGCTATCCCTGTTGTGGGAGAGGTTGCGAAGTGGGAGGTAAACTCGAGCTGAGCAGGTCAGTGCCATCAGACAGGTGCGAACGGGACGTGATGACATGGAGGCGCCGGGTGCCGCCGAGCCGACCGATCATGGTCCGGGGGGCCGAAGCCATCGTAGATAGTTTGCGAGTCTACCTCCGGTATGAGTACCATTTGAGAGTGTATACATCGTTTCAAGATCGGAGAGTGTGGGCTTTGGGATGACGAGAGGGCGCCATTGAAGCCTTGCTGGGGTCTAACTTTGGCTTCGTTCTTGGATACAAGCTTGATGAGACGATAGAAAAGCTAAAAATGCGACGATCGACGACGTCACTGCCTCTTTCCGGTCATCGACAACTCCTCGGCAGGGGCGGACGTGGATGAATGAGGTTCGGATTGCATCGACGGCGTTTGAGTAGGCGCCGGACTCGATTATTGGTTTGTTTTGGGAAACCTTGACATCATTCTTGGGGGAGGGCCTTTCTTGGCGAGGGAAGGCATCGAATGAGCTGAGCTGAAATTTGGCCAGGGTCTTGAAGGTCAAAGCGACATTATAGTTTGTAGATCTTTACCACACCTTCTAGGTACCTGGTACCATGCGGGCTGATGAAGGCGCTGTCTTGCGTTATCGATAAGCTGCTCCATGTGCGCCGTGCACAGATCAACCGCGACAGTGATAACCTCACACGCGCTAAAAATTCAGTCTCGCAACATCGAGCACTTCCACCACCAGATCACACCCCTCCAGCGCCTGCTCTACCCCGGGCACGAATAGCTTCTCACCCGTCCTTCCCCTATCTACACCCCTTTTAACCGGGCGCCTCCGGAGTTATACCCAAGCGCATGGCGTCATTCGAGCTTCATGTATGGGGCAATGCCTTTGGCCTCGAGTCCATTGACACCGAGTGTCTTGCCGCCGTCAAGTACTGCTCCCAAGTCTTCCGGGGCCGGGGAAAGAGCTCCCAATGGAACTTAGTCGAGAGCAGCGACCCCTCAATATGTCCGGACCGTATGTTTACACCCCCTATAGCAGTGTATCAACCCCACAAGAGAACTAGACTGACTCGTCCCACACCGTAGATCGTCTACCCGCCCTTCTCCATGACGGCGCCTGGACCAGCGGCTACCGACACATCGTCACATACCTCGCGCGCCACCTAAACCTCCCCGAAACCCTGAACCCCGCCCAGCGCGCCGATGCTCTCGCCTACGAGACGTACCTCACCTCACGCGCCTCGGCCCTCGTCGACCTATCGCTCTACGCCTCCTCGACGAACTGGTCCGCCACGACACGTCCCGCGTACAGCTCCATCCTACCCTTCCCTCTTACGTGGACGGTACCGCCGGCGCTCCGTGCCGAGGCCGTGCGACGTGTCGAGAGGTTCGGCTTTAGCGAGATGGAGGCCGATGGGCGGGATGATGATGAGGAGGACGAGGAGGAGGAGGAAAAGGCTCCAGCGTTTAGGTGGAAGGGGCTCACGAGGAGGAGGAAGACTGTCGTGGAGTCGATGACGGCTGAGCAGATGGTTGGAATTAGGCTATATTCCTTTGCTAAGGATGCGCTTCAGACGATACGAGACGGGGTCGTGGATGGGACCGTCATCGTCGGTGACGAGGGAGAGTACTCCGCAACAGCATGGTTGCTCTACGCCCACCTCGCGTTGATGCTCGCCCCGGAAGTGCCCCAGTGTTGGCTACGCACTCTCCTCCGCAGCGACTTCCCCCAACTCGTAGACTTCTACACCAAGATTAACACATCACCCACCACCACCGCCCCCTCCTCGAGCGAACTAATCCCGACCACCCCTCACAAGCACACCCTCCTCTCCACAACCGCCCGCTTCCTCCACCACGTCATCCAATCCATCCCCACCCTCGGCCCAATCTACACCACCGAATGGCGCCGCCGCACAACCGAAAAAATCCGCGGCCTAGACGCCCGCTCCTCCTTCCTACTCTCCGCTACCGTCTCCGCTGTGCCCACTGTCGCGTACCTCTACAGCCTTGCCGCGAGCGGGTTGCGGCCCGGGCCGAAGATTAAGGCGCGCCCTCATGTTTGGTATGTTGAGAGGCAGGGGCGCGGGCTGGGGAGGTTTGGGGAGATTGGCGCCATGTTGGATTTTACGATGAGTGCTGTTGGTGGAACTGGGACGGGTGGGGAAGGGTGGGGGTTTGGGACTTCGGAGTTTGCGGTTCAGGCGGGGAGGGATGTTGAGGTAGAGGCGAGGCCATAAGGAATGGGAATAGATCGTGATGCGCCACGGAGGATGTAAGAGTAGATTGTCCGAACCTGGTAAACCGGGTTCCCCTGTATACATGCCGAGTTGTGTTAAACCAGTAGATAGAACACGAGATTTAATCAATGTCTCTTCCACAAGAAGAATAAGTTTCCAACCCAGATCTCTATTAAAATATACGCTGCCCATCCGTTTAGTTATGTTTACTGGGAATGATAAACGGTAAATGCAGCAACCACATGCAAGTCCGTATCCGCTGATCACACCCACCAGAATCCAAATCCCCCCCAGCCGAAATGCCATCAAAAGAACTTCATCATGCCTACGTACGCCGCAACGCAAAACGAAAAGAACCAAAGATGATCCATGCAGGTCTACCATAGGCTGAGCCCATTAAAAGACAGTAACAGTGTTCACGTATCCGTTGCGAAGCACCTCAAACACCAACCCCGGAAAGCCATACAGCGTCGTGGTCGAATCGTCGCTCCCATCCGCACCCTTGGGCAAGTTGGCAGCGGCCGTGGCGCTGCTGTCCTCCCAGCCGCCGAGCAACTCGCAGCTGCTCCCCGGACTATCCCCCCATCCGCGGTTCAGCACCATGCCCCGCTGGTGATTCTCGCCTTCACCAGGGGGGTACAGAGGTCTCCATCGCTCGTTGAGGCTCTCCTCGATATCGGTGAACTTCGTCTCCGAGTTGGGACTGGGCGTATCATTTGCCCCGTCCTCGAGGTAGGCAATGTCCCAAGGGCAGCGGCGGTGGCGGTTGAATTCGTACGAGCCCGGGATGTTTCCGTGGAGGACGAGTTTTGTGGCGACGAGCCGGTCGGAGTTCGTGCTTTTGGTGTGACTCTCCGGGATGATTCCTTTACCTTGTTCGCCGGGCGGACGTTTAGATGGGGGGACGGGCGTAGAAACGAGAATATCGAAGCCTTGGTAGAAGTAATTGTAGAAGCACTCGCCGGACACACTTCCGGAAGCTTCTTCCTCGACTACGTCCTCATCGTTTGTGTCTTCGGAGCCGGTCATCAAGGAGGACTGGTCTGTATCCGTGAGGTCATCTGGTCGGCCGCCGGTCTCGCCAGGGTCTCCCCCGCCCACCGCGTGCCGTAGTTTATGAATCGTCATCCTCTTGTCATTCTTTCGGTAAATTGCATCCGGGGGACCGAGCTCGATTACGAGTTCCTGGGGTGTGGTTTCACCAAGGCTAATCCAGGTCGAGGAGTTGGTCCATTTCCGGAAGAGCTGTAACTTTCCTCCTCCCCATATCTTCACCAACGATATCTCATCGGGCGAGACGTCTTTAGTTCGTGGTAATGCGGGGTTGGACTTGATACTCGGTAATATCGCAGTCCACAGCGTTTGCCGGGCTTCTGCCCAGGACGGCCCATCGAAGACCGCCATCGAGGTTGCCGTTTGGTTGGGAGAGGCCGATAGCAAGGAAACCACATCTTTGTCAGGAGAATATCTCGACGCGGGCAGTTTGAACGTGAATGCGACGCCGGGGTACGATAGAACATAGACACCTGTATCCGATCCGTCTTCTCCATTAGGCGGAATGTATTCTCCTGCATAGGTCGGCCCCAACAGTTTGTGGTAGATGTGCTTAAATGACGGTCCGCCAGCATCGCCTGCAGCCGGGGCTGCTGAACCTGGGCGGACTAGGTCACGATCATTAAAGGTGATGTGGTTTCGAGTGAAATCGATCACTTCGATGAGGCGTAGGCGCTGTTGGGCGCCATCGAAGCGGAGACGGAGGCCGTTTGCGGGGAGGTTAACGGTTACGGGCTCGTGGACGGGCTGTTCTCGGGAATAGAGGAGCTCGAGCTGCGGGAAGCGCGTTGGTTCTGCCTTTAGGCGTGTGAGAACAGAGTGGAGGGAGGCACCGAGCGCTACCGAGCAGTTAGTAGCTTTGCCCGCTCAGCACAGATGTCCGGTTTTACATACGTAGGAATCCCAGCGCTCTCTTTGGGTAGAGCTGGCCTGTGAATAAAGTCATGGTGCACTGCGCGCGACGTGAAATCTAAGGAAACGGAGAGCTGAAGCGGCTGACGAACAGGCGACGAGTAATGTCTAGGGACGCGGGGCCCATGGGCGTTGCGGGGTGGAGATGCCGCGGGCCATGCGTTTGCGGGGGAATGGGATGCGATGGCTTCTCTTTCGTGCTACTAATCTAATAAAGATTGTCTCTCGTTTGGAAAGTTTGGAAGTCGCACGAAGAAGGCGAAGACAGAGAGCACTTGAGACTGAACGTTCATGCGCGCCCAGCCATGTGATAAAGGTGCGGGGTGGAAGTTGCAGCAGCCTGGATGTTGGAGTTCAAAGTACACGGTACATTCTTGCCGCCCACTTTAACTACGTCATACAAGTCCAATGACTGGCATCTCGCTGTTCTAAGTTATAAGCCCTGGTCCTGCTCCGGCAACGACAACACCGGACCATGGCTGCCTCTATAGAAGCCGCGAAAGACGCGTATAAGTAAAATAATTCTCTCTCTCTCTCTTGACATATTGATGATTCAACCGGTACGTAACCTGTGGCGTGGAATTCGTGGGAGCCAACTCCCTCCCATGACCATCAGCCGCTCTGCTTGCATGTGCAGCTGACATAATAAAGCAATTCCCCAAATGTAATCCCCATCTTGCATCCATGCAGACTTGACCCAGAGGTGTAACAGTGGTAGCATTGCAATTCCCAGTTCTAGCAAACTGTACCGAGGTAGTGTGTCACTACGTGATGTTTCATTTAGACCTCTCTCGTGCGAACTTCCTTTTCATCAGATAGAATGAATAACTGGATCTACTCATGACCATTGCTTCGAAAACACGCGGCCCTTCGCAAAGGACGTTGGGCGGAGTCGAAGGGCAAGGATTACGACTATTGAACCAAATGGAACCCAAATGGAACATCATGTAGTGAGGCACCACGGCTCGCTGGAAATAGTAATTGCCATGCCACCACTGCTACGCCTCTGAGTCAAGTCTTGTATGTGTGTGTAAAATGGGGATATGATTATTCTAAGTTCTATTTAACAAAGGGGCGGCTCGGGGAGTCCCTTTTATCTTGGGGGGTTGTCTTATATAAGCGACTGTGCCACGGACCACGGAAGAGACGACAGCGATCTGAGTTGACTTCAAGTTCATAGAACTAGTTTACTTAGTAGCATGTAACTTTAGAACATCCATACCGGCATCAGTTTCAAGAGGGTACTTTCGCATAACTTGGTTGACGACGTCCACCCACCGACTTAGAATAGTCCGACGACCAAAGAGAGCTTTCTGTATTCCCACCACTCAAGCCAAAAGCCCGCCGACTCCTAGTCGATAATACCCGTTACGTCCCCATTTTTGCCATCGACTAGAGAATCTTCCCAAAGGTCTGCGTGGGCAAATGACATGCTATGATTATCGGAGAACTAGGTGCGATATTGATCTGCTGCCTCTGGCTTTGGGTACTTTCGCACCGGGGCGACAGGGAAATCGTGGAATTCAGCCGCGGTTTTGAAGGGCCCAGAGGCAAACAAGTTGCTAACCCGATGGTCATAGATAGGTCCCGAGCAACCCTATCCGTCTAGGTTCGGGCGGGCGAATTGCGTGTAGTTGCTCAAAGTACGATTTTAGCTGGCGCGGAAAGTATTGCTCATTCCTAGTCCAGTTGATCCCCAGATAACTGTCCCATGCGAAACCAGCCTTCAAAGTCCCAAGCCGTGCTCAATTTCAAAGTCCCTCCAACGCAACGAAGTCTAGTGTGAGTCTGGGGAATGCGGTGACTAATGTGTGGCGTCGTGGCGTATTTCAGCATCCAATGATGAGTCATTCGACGCCACAGGCAACATCGACCGACGAAAGCCAATTCGAGTCACCGTGTCAGAGTTGCTGTATGGGTGGAAAATCTGCAATGCGGGCTATTACCATCCTGTGTTAATTCGGGGCGACCAGAGATTCGAAGGGTTTGCCTGTGAGTCAGCCCAATTGGTTCTACTAGGCTTAACCCGCTGTGTCCCGCGTGCCCCTCCCGCTCAATGCAGCTTGGGACTTCCATGCATTGAGAGGGCATCCAATGTTGCAGCATTTTCCTTTTAACCCCACCGAATGCTAAATCCACGACTAGTCCGCCTTTGCCTGCGCCCTTCTTTTCTGCCCCTCCATCTCTCCCCACCAACAACTTTCTTGCCCGATTCCAGACTTTTTCGGAGATCACTCAATCGCAGGATAACCATGGAGGCTGGAAAAGACGCCCCTAACCCGGCGCCGGCGGCGACCAAGCCCAAGTCTGCCAAGCAGGGTAAGCAACTTCCTCCGCTCTTGCACGAGGTCTCGTGTAAACCCAGGTCCTAGGCCGACCCCTCCATTGCTGTCCGAGGACCCGCTAACTCAAAGGTTTTGTTTCGAACAGAGAAAAAGGAAAAGGCCAAGGAAAAGGCTGCCGCGAAGGCGCAGGCAAAGCTGCAGCAACAACAGAAAGAACCTTCCGCCTCGAAGGCCGCCAAGGAGAAACCCGCCAAGGAGGTCCTCCCGGCATGGGAGAATAAGACCCCCGTTGGAGAGAAGAAGGAGCTATACCCCCTCGACGACGAAGCGCACCCTCACTTCAAGGCTTACTCGCCCCATGCTGTCGAGTCTGCTTGGTACTCTTGGTGGGAGAAGAGCGGCTTCTTCAAGCCTCAGGGCAACGCGACCACCCGATCCGACAACACCTTCGTTATCCCTCTTCCGCCTCCCAATGTCACCGGAGCTCTTCACTGTGGCCACGCTCTTGCAAACTCCCTGCAGGATACTCTTATCCGCTGGCACCGCATGAGGTATGCTTCTAGTCCCCGCGTCACCATTTAGGTTAATGCCAATGACTCACACTTTTGTCTCTCACTCTAGAGGATTCGATACACTTTGGGTTCCAGGATGCGATCATGCCGGTATCTCCACGCAATCCGTCGTCGAAAAGATGCTCTGGCGTAAGGAGCACAAGACTCGTATGGATCTTGGCCGCGAGGCCTTCACAAAGCTTGTCTGGGATTGGAAGGACGAGTATCATCAGAGAATCAACAACGCCCAGAGGCTTATGGGCGGCTCTATGGACTGGTCCAGGGAGGCCTTTACTATGGATAAGAACCTTACCGCTGCCACGATGGAGGCCTTCGTCCGTCTCCATGATGAGGGTCTCATCTACCGATCCAACCGCCTGGTCAACTGGTGCACTCAGCTCAACACCGCTCTCAGCGGTCTCGAGGTCGAGAACAAGGAGATCACTGGCCGCACAATGCTCTCTGTCCCTGGCTACGAGAAAAAGATCGAGTTCGGTGTCCTAACGCACTTCCAATACCCCCTCGAAGGCTCCCCTGATGTCAAGATAGAGGTCGCCACCACTCGACCCGAGACCATGTTGGGTGATACCGGTATCGCTGTCCACCCCGAGGATAAGCGATACACGCACCTCGTTGGCAAGTTTGCTCGCCACCCCTTCACCAACCGGTAAGTGAATGTACCCTTGGATACTATGAGCCGCACACCAAGATTAATACAACTGCTAACATCAATCATAGACTCCTCAAAATCGTTGCAGACGACTATGTTGACCCGGAGTTCGGTACTGGTGCCGTCAAGCTTACCCCCGCTCACGACAACAACGATTACGCGCTCGGCCAGCGACATGGTCTCGAGTTCATCAACATCCTAAACGACGATGGTACACTCAACGAGAACTGCGGCCAGTTCGCCGGCCAGCGCCGATTTGATGCCCGTTATACCGTCGTTGAAGAGTTAACTAAGCTCGGTCTCTTCGTCAAGAAGGAGCCCAATCCCATGAAGATTCCTCTTTGCGAGAAGTCCAAGGATGTCATCGAGCCCATCATGAAGCCTCAATGGTGGATGCGCATGAAGGAGATGGGAGCTGCTGCCCTCGAAGTTGTCGAGCAGGGCAAGATTACCATTGCCCCCGAGTCAGCCCGCAAGTCCTACACTCACTGGATGTCCAACATCAATGACTGGTGCTTATCCAGGCAGCTTTGGTGGGGCCACCGCATTCCCGCGTGGAAGGTTACGTTGGAAGGAGATGACCCTAAGAAGGGAGAAGAACGTTGGATTGCTGCTAAAACCGAGGATGAGGCCCGATCAAAGGCCAAGGAGAAGTTTGGTACCGACAAGTTTACCATTGAGCAGGACCATGACTGTTTAGAGTAAGTGTGAATCCTCCATTCTCTACGCGCCATGTCATGCCCCGCGAGCGAATATAGGCTAATTCGATGTGTGTGCAGTACTTGGTTCAGCAGCGGCCTATGGCCCATGGGTACTCTCGGCTGGCCCAACACTGAAAACCCCGACTTCAAGCGCTTCTTCCCTACCAGCATCCTCGAGACCGGCTGGGATATTCTGTTCTTCTGGGTTGCGCGAATGATCATGTTCTCCGTCAAGCTCACTGGAGAGGTTCCCTTCAAGGAGGTGTACTGCCACAGTCTCATTCGTGATTCTGAAGGCCGAAAGATGAGCAAGTCCCTCGGCAATGTCATTGATCCCCTAGACATTATCAACGGTATCGAGCTCGAAGACCTTCATGCCAAGCTCCTCCAGGGTAACCTTGCTGCCGATGAGGTTGCCAAAGCTACTAAGTACCAGAAGACTGCCTTCCCCAGTGGTATCCCCGAGTGCGGCGCGGATGCTCTGAGGTATACTCTTCTCTCCTACTGTACAGGAGGTATGTTATCATCTCGTAATCCTCGCATCTTTGTATTGGTTTACGTCGGCATTTTCTGGGCTAACTGATATTCTCATCTAGGTGGTGACATTAGCTTCGACATCAAAGTCATGCATGGCTATCGCCGATTCTGCAACAAGATCTGGCAGGCTAGCAAGTATGTCCTCCTCAAGCTGCCGCCGGACTTCAAGCGGGCCAAGGAGCTCGACGCCTCTAAGCTGTCACTTCCTGAGAGGTGGATTCTTCACCGGATGAACACCGCTGTGAGGGAGGCTAACCGCGCCCTCACCGCGCGTGAATTTTCAAAGAGTACCCAAGTTACTTATCAGTATGTCTCTTCGCTTATTGCTTCTATCCATATTCTCCATTATCAAAAAGCCATGCAACTAACTGTAGTCACAGATTCTTCTACGATGAGCTTTGCGACGTCTTCATCGAGAACAGCAAGGCCTTGTTGAATGATGGAGATGCGGAATCGAAGAACCGTGTCCTCCAGACTCTTGTTACTGTCCTCGACACCTCGCTACGCCTCCTGCACCCCTTCCTTCCTTTCATTACGGAGGAGCTGTGGCAGCGTGTTCCTCGCCTCGAGGGCAACACGATCCCTTCGATTATGCTCGCGCCTTACCCCGAGTATGACGAGAAGCTCAACTTTGAGTCTGATGCCGTGGACTACGAAATCGGCCTGAAGTGCGCCCAGGGTATGCGCTCACTTGCCTCCGAATACGGCATTCGCACCGGCGGACGCGTCTTCGTCAAGGCGACGACACCCGAGAGCTTTGAGAAGGCCCAGGCCCAGCAGCACTCGATGCAGGCCCTTTCCGGAAAGACTATTGCCGAGGTCAACGTTGTTGGACCGGGTGGCGAGACTCCTCAAGGTTGCGCCGTCTCCGTCGTGTCATCTGACCTGATTGTCCTGCTTGACGTTGCCGAGCGCATTACGGATGTCGATGCTGAGATCAAGAAGGTCCGCACAAAGCTTCAGAAGAGCCAAGGAGCGGCGCAGAAGCAGAAGGAGCTTCTTGGTCGTGAGGGCTTTGACGACAAGGTCAGCGAGGTTGTCAAGACACAGGAGCTGAAGAAGCTTTCTGATGCTTTGGCGGCGGCGGAGAACTACGAGAAGACAATTGCCGAGTTTGAGAAGTTGAAGATTTCGTCTGCATAAATGTGTATAGAGTAGAGGTGAAGAGAATAAATAAAATAAGGCTGATCTGTACCTCAGTATTATGGTGAGGATTTTAATTTCCGAGATTCCAGTGAGAGTCGGTGAGAGTCGGTGAGACTTTAGGCGACGGAGTATTTTGGTTGCCATAGTGACCACCGTCCCGATTTGTTGATGCAAAGTTGCACGGCGGCTGGGACGCGGCTTCCCCACAAACACACCTACCCACCCTCACATTTGCCCTCACGAGAACATCAATTGATCCACGGTCAGGGATACCATCTCTTTCTATTTTCCCCCCAAACTTCACTGAAAAATAATAGACTCGTGCGGATTATCCCTTCCGCGATTTCTACTTATCGGAATTCTGGGGGATCTTGTTCCTTTCAAGGGTCGCCAAAAGTTCATAATAATCCCCGACCGCTTGGTTCCTTAATTATCCATTCCAAGACACCGCCAACGAGCGCCCTTAACGCCAGGGCCATGGCGAGCCATCTCATGGGCTCACGCCACGAACGTGAACCCGCCAAAAGAGTAACATCAACCTCATCGACACGAGCGGCCGTGACGCGACGGACAAGCACACGACATGGACTACGAGCCTCAAGCATAGCGACATCGCGATACCCCAGCTCGCGAATTTTCGACCGCGCGGGGGCCGTTTCGCCGGCAGATTCCATCATGTCCTCCGCGACGAACGCGACGGGCTCGAAGCGAAAGGAGAGGGGCTACGAGGCCGAAGGAGGGGGCGGCGACGAGACGTGCATCAACGTGTTCGTGCGGTGTAGGGGTCGGAACGAGAGGGAGGTGAGGGAGAACAGCAACGTCGTTTTGAAGACGGAGGGGGTGAAGGGAAAGCTTGTGGAGCTTTTGATGGGGCCGAATGCGTTGAGTAATAAGACGTATAATTTCGATGGGGTGTTCTCGCCGGCCGCGGGTCAGAGTATCATTTTTGATGAGGTGGTGAAGCCGATTCTCGACGAGGTGAGAGAGATTTCTTCTTTGGCACCTTTCTCCGGGGGGCATGTGCAACTAACCGCTCTATCGCTTGGTTTAGATGTTGGCGGGATACAATTGTACGATTTTTGCCTATGGCCAGACCGGTACTGGCAAGACCTACACGATGTCCGGAGACATGTCCGAGACGCTCGGTATACTCTCCGACTCAGCAGGTATCATCCCAAGGGTACTACGGAGCCTGTTCAACAAACTGCAAGTCGATGGCGGAGAGAACTGCGTCAAGGTCTCGTTCATCGAACTATACAACGAAGAGCTTCGCGATCTCATCTCGGTCGAGGAATCCGCCAAACTCAAGATCTACGACGACACATCCAGAAAGGGCCACGTCGTCACCGTTGTGCAGGGAATGGAGGAAACACACATCAACTCGGCTTCCGAGGGCATCAAGGTTCTTCAAGAAGGAAGTTTGAAGCGCCAGGTGGCCGCGACCAAGTGCAACGATCTCAGTAGCAGAAGTCATACTGTCTTTACGATTACCGCCTACGTTCGCATCAAGGGGGAAGATGGCAGCGAGGAGCTCGTGAGCGCCGGCAAACTTAATCTCGTTGATCTGGCGGGCAGTGAAAATATCCAGAGGTCTGGTGCGGAAAATAAGCGGGCTGCCGAGGCGGGTTTGATCAACAAGAGTTTGCTCACTCTTGGAAGGGTGATTAATGCGCTCGTTGACCGGAGTCCGCATATCCCCTACCGTGAGTCGAAGTTGACGCGTCTTTTGCAAGACTCGCTCGGTGGGCGCACAAAGACGTGCATTATTGCTACTGTGTCTCCGGCCAAGAGTAACCTCGAGGAGACCATCTCGACGCTAGACTACGCCTTCCGAGCCAAGAATATCCGCAACCGGCCTCAGATCAACCAGCCGATCAACAAGAAGGCTCTCCTCCGAGATTTCGCGAACGAGATTGAGAAGCTCAAGACGGAGCTCATCTGCCATCGACAGCGGAATGGAGTGTACCTCTCGAACGAGGCGTACGAAGACATGACTGCCGTGAGCGAGTCGCGCCGCATCGTGCTCGAGGAGCAGGCGGCCAAGATGGAGACGCTCGAGACGAATCTGCGAAATAAGGTCCAGGAGCTCCTGAACCTCACAGCCACGTTTATGGGTCTCGAGAAGGATCACGAGGTTATCAAGGCACAGCTCGACGATACCAAGGAGGTGCTGGACCAGACGGAGCTCATCCTTGCTGCGACTTGCAAGTCACTCGCCGAGGAGACGCACCTTCGCAGGGCGCATCAGCACACCGAAGAGAAGCTGGCCGAGGTCGGTGGAAAACTCCTGACCACGCTCGAAAAGACCGTCGGGGATGTTGATGGTCTGCGCGCCAAGAATAAGCGCAAGTCGGACCTCCAGGCACTGAATCGGAGTACTTGGGCTGCTGCCCAGGAGCACGTCGAGGATGTCACTTCTATGGTTGAGGGCCGTGTGCTTGAGCTGCGGAATGAGCAGGAGCAGCATATCACGAATGTCTCGAAGCGGATGAGGGGCTTTGTTGACGAGGAACTTGGAGAGCTCACAACAACGCTAGGGTTTCTTGAAAAGCAACTGGCGACGTTTACCGAGTCCAAGAGGGGCCTGCTTGAGCGCGGGACGAGGTCGAAAGATGAGATGGATGAGGTCTTGGAGGAGATTAAAGTGGTGAGAGACGCGGTGAAGGAGAGGGTCGGAGACAGCTTGCAAGCGATATCCAGTGCCGCTGAGAGGATCTCGGCGGATGTGCTCAGCGAGCTTGACACGTTCCACAATCAGGTAAGATAATGATAGCGCGCTGCCTCTTCGAAAGACAACTTGCTAACTCTCGCGTCTACAACAGCTACACACTTCCTACAGCACTCTCGGCAAGGAGTTCAAGTCCATCTTTGAGGAGATGCTGCGACACCTCTCTTCCCAGAGGAGTGAGGCCGATAGGCTCAGGCGCCAGCTCCAGGGCGCCACCAGCACCATGATGGAGCAAAACGCCCTGCTCACGAACCGTATACAAGAAGTCATCGACGAAGAGCGGCAGCAGGCAGCCGAGGATAGACGGAATCTCTTGGCGCAGATAGGAGCACTCATCGAGGCTCAGGCCGAGACGCAGGAGTCGAGGCTCGCGGAGAAAGCAGAGTTGTTGAAGAAGGGCCTCTTGGATGCCAACTCGACACTTGGGGGAAGCGTCGACCGGTACGGAGAGTCGATGGACACGTGGGATAAGAAGGAGGGCCAGCTTCTTGAGGATATCAGGTCATCTAGGGATTCGCTTAAGACGAGACTCAAGGATGACTGGAACGTAAGTGAAGACTTCGCATGGGTCTGCTCCGACCCGTCATCTAGGCGGACGGTCAAACTTATGACTAACACTGTAACCAGGTCGCAAATGAGCACAGCTCCTCTATCCAGGCTACTACAAAGTCAGTCCATGCCGAAACGGTTCGCATCGTCGATGCTCAAATCTCCGATCTCGGGGTCCAGATGCAAGCCCTCGACGACTCCGTTAGCCGCGCCCGAAGCGAGAACGCCCAGCACCATGATGCGCAAATCGAGGCCGTGCAAAGCGTATCAGCAACGGTCGAGCAATCATACGAGAGCATCGGAGCACACTTCAAGACCAATCTCGAGCGCGTGAAGGTGATCGGCAGCGAGATGGAATCCGACACCAAGCTGGTGCGCCAGGCTCTCGAGCCCCTGGAGGAGGAGGTTTGCCTGCCGCTCGCCGAGCTCCGCGAGGAGATTGGCGGCGCCGTGCTTAGGGAGTATGTCCCCACGGGCGAAACTCCCGAGAAGGTGCAGTACAGGTATCCCAGGGAGTTGCCGCAGACGGAGAGCCACGAGGTGCTTCTTGCGAGGATGGAAGATGAGCCCATCCCCACGCCGACGAAGGAGAGGAGGACGGAGACTCTAGTGTTTTCGGATAACGAAGAGATGGGACCGCCTCCCAGCATCCCGTCCCTTTCTCCGCCGCAGCTGGCTAGAATCCCGACTCTAGCGGCGTCGACGAGCATCATCCCCTCCTCCCGGAATAACGGCGCGGCTCAAGAGGACAAGAACCCCATGAGCATGAGCCTGCGGGAAATCAACCCCAACTTGACGAGCAGTTTCGTGTTCGACCCGAAAGCTAGTACCATGTCGTTGCCGAGCGAGAACTTGACTCTGCCATTGTTAAAAAGGAGTACGAGGGGGAAGGGGAGGAAGAAGCAGGCTACGACGGACGAGAGCAAGGAGAATGTGACGGTTGGGCTTGAGATGCCTAGGAGGAAGAGTCCTCGGCTGAATTAGAGGGGGTCTCTCCTTTCTGTGTTTGTTTGTGCGAAAAGGCTCTGGGTATATATACAGCTTGGGTTTTTCTTCCTATAGGAGGAGGGGGTCGGAGTAGATTACAAGGCGTCTTGTTTCTGGTGTCTGGGCTGATTTCTGGGTCGGGGGGTGGTATTGGGTGGCCGCTTGATATTGTTCAGATAGTATTTCTTTTTATCCTTTGGGCACTCTGATACCCTCGCTGAATGTAGAGCGGTGTTGGCAATAGGTTTGCCTCCTTCATAAAATTTGAGTTCTAATTATCCAGTTTAATATCCTTCCTCTGTGTTGAAGGCGGCGAGATGAACGTCGACATCACGAGAAGTGAGGTGCAAGACTTGGGAAGTTGCGATGAAGGTTTACTATTACATAATCATCTCTCTCATGTCTCTTTACGACGACTATTTCAGACGAACTTGCAAACCGGATTTAGAGTCGTTTGATTCTTCCTTATAACTAGCATTCTGATTTGTTTCATTTGTTGCGAAGGCTTTGGGTCGTTTGCGGTTTTCTGCTGCAGCATTTATCAGTTGGGCAGCCGCATCTGTTGCCCGCCTTTTTACGCTGGAGTGACAATCTCTGAACGATGATCACCCGGAAAGCACCTTGATTTCGATTTCTCACACCTCCATACTGATATTAAACATTTAATTCTTATTTTTTTCTATTATATCGAAGAGAAATTCCATGGAGCGCAAGCATCTCCTCACAAGATCGCATTTGAACATTCATTCACCAAACATCATCACCCACCGTCGCCATGGACGACGACTGGGACCGAACCACCGAGTCTATCAACTCTGAATCCTCCGATGAACTCTACAACACCCGTCCCAACCGTTGGCGCGGCGCCAAGTCCACCTGGAGAGAACGCAACCGCGAGGACTGTGGCGTGTACGAGGGCCTCGAAGTCCTACGGAGGTCTGATCTCGCTGTTCATCTGTACAATGCATTTGCGTTGAAGAACGGGCCGCGGAGGAAGATTGGACCTAACGGAGAGTTGGTAAGCACATTTCTACTCCCTTTCTCGGCTGGCGAAAGGAAAAAGAAACGATGAAATACAATTTTATTAACATCAAGGGCGTATAGGAGGGTTACGAAGATGATAAAGAGAAGTGGGTGCCGCCTCGCGCATGGACAGCCTGGCCCATGAATGTGGAATATGTGCCCAAGGATGATTTTATGCCGATGCAGCCGCTCGATGAGAACAGTGCGTTGACTTTTCGGAAGATGGAGAGGGCGGTCCCGAGTGCGGCTTTGGCGGAGGAGATTGAGGCGTGTATTTTGAGGGTGGCGAAGGAGAGATTTTGGAAAAGGGAGGAGATTGGGGAGGACGAGCAGGAGGAGGGCAGCGGATCAGATGAGGAGGGAGAGGGCGAGGTGACCTCAGAAGAGGAAGAGATGGATGGGAATGGGGAGGAGGGGATCAACGACGGGGCTGGGCCCGGACGCAAGAGCAGAGAGGCGACTCCGGAGCTGGTAGGGGTGCCCTCGGCTGACGACGAAGTTTCGAGCGCTATTCTACGGCCATCCGTTGGGGACATCATCGGGAAGCTGGAAAAGACTCTCCTTTCTCTGCATAACATGATGGTCGCGACCGCCCAGGCAGTTGAAGACGAGGAGGAGGATACTGATGCTGGAGAGGGGAGAAAACGAAGAACCCTGAGGTCTCTTTCTCGACCGAGGAACAAGGGGAAGCGACCTAGAGCACCAAGCGAGCCCCTATCTATCACGACTGAAAACCAAGATGATAGCCGCCATGCCTCTCCGCAAAAAAAGCTAAAACCATTGTCAAGCTCGCAACTCCGCCCCTCCGACACTTTAGCAATCGAAGAAGAGACGGACAGAACCTCACTCTCACCATCTCTGTCCCCATCGCCGTCCCCAATGCCAACACAGCAAAGCAGAGACCAATCCAAATCGCCCAACAAGCCTAATCACACCGAACACTTCCTGCAAAAGCATGCAGATCGCCTCCTAAGCTTAACACCCAGAGACTGGCGGGCCGTCCTAGGAGCTGCTTCCATAGCCGGCTTCTCACCAGCCGTAATCACTCGCGCAACCCAACGGTGCGCCTCCCTCTTCAAGGAAGAAGTCGACCTCACCACTCTCCTAGATCACACCACCCAGCGGGACACGAAAACGGCCATCCGGCCGCGTCCAGATTACACACTCTCTTCCGACGAGGACAATAGCGACGACGAGCTGGAAGAGACCATCCGCCTAAGACTCCAAGGTCGAGAACTCACACGCGCGCAAGATCAACTGCCTCACCCATCCACGCCGACCTCCCGCCAACGAAGTCGAACCCCCGCGTCGAGACGCACGCCCGAAGGTGCCTCCACGCCGCGGTCCCGATCTCGATCTCGCTCGCGCTCAGCAACTCCGCACCTCGTCTGTCCGTATCGAACGTGTCAGCGCTCCGTAACGCCCTTTTCGAAGAGGAGTAATTTACAGCGACATATAGATAAAGTGCACGGGGGCCGAGGCGGGGAGTTTGAGGAGGTGGATTCGGAGGATGAGATGGAGGACGGGGTGCATGTTGATGGGTTTTTGAGGGGGGTTAGGATTAGGAAGGGGTGGAGGGGGGAGGATGTTAGGGAGGAGGAGAGGGGAAGGAGGGGGAGGGGGCGGAGGGGGCGGAAGGGGCAGGGTGAGGCCGAGGATGTCGAGGCTGGTTATGGGGGTGGTGATTAGTATCGAATCCCCCTGGGTGAGCATCTTGGTCTCTCTCCAATCATGAAGAGTACAGTACAGAGATGCCAAGAGTGCGATGGTACTGAGCAAAACAAGAACTCCAAGATTAACGCCATTTCTACATGTAACTAATACGAAGAAACAGAAAAGTAGAAAACAAAAGAACACAGATCACCAAATAACCTATCCCCTACGCCTTCGCCTTCTTCCCCTTAGCCTTCTCCAACTTCCTCCTCTTGGCCATCAACCTAAGATCCTCCTCGCTCTTCTGATTATTGCTATACTGCATCTTCTCGAACAACTTCCTCTTCTTCTTGCTCAGCATACCCTTGGCCCTCTCGAGCTCCTCCTCCTCCTCGCGCGCCTTCTTGGCGAGCGCCTTGCGCTTGTCGGCCTTGGCCTTGGTCTCGGGCTTCACCGGCGCTTCCGCCTTGACGTTCTTGCCGGAGAGTTCGGCTTCGATTTCGAGACGGCGCTTCTTGTCGGCTGCCGCTTCGTCGTCTTCGTCGTCCTCGTCCATCTTGGCTTCGGCGGCAACATCTTCTTCGTTCTCGTCTTCTGAGAAACCGCCAAAGGCGCTGCCTTCGTCGCCGTCGACTTCCATGCCATTTTCTTCTTCTTCCTCTTCGTCGCTCTCGAGGTCAAGTGCGTGACCCTCAGGGAGCTGCTCCTCGAGCGGTCGCGTAGGATCGTATCTGCCTGGCACGCTCTTCACGAAGGGACTAAGATGTGGCGGGAGGGCGGCGCCAGGGGCGTAGAGGTCGGGCCGCTGGAGCTCCTCGTCGTTGATGCTGTCCCAGACCCATTGGGGCTGGACATATATCCGCCCAGCTACCCTCTGGTTCGCACCAATCCTCTGCGCGGTCTGGTTGTCTTCACCCTCACCCTCAGAAATCTGAATGGGTGGGCGGTCAACAATCTGATGGGTGATAGAAGGGTCGAGCTCGTTGGTGGTGTAGGCGCCGCTACCGAGAACAGCATCCCAACCTATCCTCTTGCAGCCAAAGGCTCGGAGGATGAATTCTAGGGATTGGCGGGGGACTTCTCGGGAGAGGAAGAAGGTGTAGTTGGAGAAGAGGCTGCTAGGGTCGGCGCTGTTGTATTCCGGTTGGGGGAGGATGTCGCCGCCGGGGGCAGCTGGCTCGAACTTGTCGAGTGCGTCGGAGGTCTCCTCGGCCTCGACTCGGACGAGCGCCTTATCGGTGGTGTCTTCCGAGTCCTTGGCGGGGGCCGCCTCGAGCTCCTTAACAATCTTGTCAACGGTAGCTTGAATCTGCGGGTTGGGTTGATGTTGGTTGTCGGATGTTCCATTGGTTATCTGCTTCGAGCCAGCCTTCTCCTCGCCAGTGACAGCATTGCCTTCGAGGGTGAAGGCGGCGAGCTCGGCGGCCTCGTCGTCCTTGGACTGGTCGAACTTGGGAGGGTACTTCAGGCCAAGCGAGGTGTACAGCCTAAAGTTTACAAAGCCCAAAAGGGTCATGTAGAATTCGACAAAGGTGCCCATGATTCGGAAGTCGATATCGCCGGACAGGTTCTGCTTGAACTTGTACGGCACGATCCACATGATATCCTCGCCCTGAATATTTGCCTGGTAATATATACCCTTGATGGAAAGGAAAGATTTCCTCAGACTCTGCGACACGATCAAGTAGTGCTGGAACTCGAGACAGAGGCGCTCGCACCGGGCAATCATCTTGGCGGGCACGGCCGAAGTCGAAGGCAGGCTAGCGAAGAGGAAGAGCATGGAAAGACAATCGTCCAGATCCCGGAGAGCGTCGACGAAAGTAGGATACCTCTCTCGAATGACATGGTCCAGAGTATAATGCGGCTTGCCCGTCTTCTCGGGCCGTGCGGCGTTTGCCTCCAACCTCTTCGCATCGCTGAAATCGCCTCGACCGAGAGCCCGCGAGATCTTCTTCTCGAGGGCCTTTTGATCGCGGAACTTTTGGAGGATGGGCTCGTGCAGGAGATACTGGATGTCCTTGGTGTAGTAGAAGGTGGTCGATTCGGTCGAGGACTTGTTGACCTTTTTCCGGTTGCGAGGCTCACGGGGGTAGATGCCCTTCCAGATGCAGAGCTTGCGGAAGTCCTGCAGACTTAGCTGGAGCTTGCGGATGGCTTGGTTTCGGGTGATGTAGTTCTTGGCCGCGCCGGCCTGGCCCTTCTTCTTGATCTTTCCCATTGTGAAAAGTTGATGGTGGCTTCCAATGGTTGAGGATCGAAAGCGTGTATGTCTTCTTCTTAATCGAGGAAGAGCAGAAACTGCCCTTTTTTGCGATAGTGGGGTTTTTTTTGGGGAACTTTTTTTTTTGTCTTCTCTACTTTTTTTTTCTTCTGCCAGGCTTGACCGCCAACCGCCGGATGGCTGGGGAGTGCTTGACACTAGATTGCAGCTGCCATCTGTCCATGAATGGCCAGAACCCCAGACCGCCTTCTGAAGTTGTCCAATGCCACTGAACAGACCTTGACAATTGGACCCAGCTGCACCTGTGTTCATCAGTAATCAGCGATTACCACCCCAGATTGGCAGCTGGCGCATCGGATTTACAGGGGGCCCATGTCCGTCTGCATCATCTTGTCAAGTGCTGTTCTGTCCTCTGCCCTTAAACCGGGTTCAGCAACTTCGCGATCGCAACTGTCAACCCGTCCCGCCTTTCCCGCCCAGCTCCATCCCCTTTCTTGCCCCACGAGCCATGGACTGAGCTTCCAAAACACCAGTACCATGTCTTCCGGGGTAAGAAAGCAGACCCTCTACGCCGCCGCCGCCTCCGTGCGGCTCCTCCTCTTCGTCGCTTTCCCCGGCCTTGCCGACCTCCTAACTGGGCGTGTGGAGGTGTCGACACCTGTGACGAGCTTCAAGAGATGTATGTGAATTGCGCACCCTTGAATCCTTACCCGATACTCTCTGGCGACGGATGTGGAATCGGGTTTCCTTTCTATCCCCTTTCCATTGACCCCCTTGCGAATTGGCTTGTTGACAGAGCTCCATTTCATAGTTCAAGAAGGCCTCTATCTCTACAACCACAACGTTTCTCCTTACAATGGCGGCATATTCCACCAGGCGCCGCTCCTCCTACCTTTTTTCTCGCTCCTTCCCGATAATAGAACCCTTCCGATTATTACGTTCCTGCTCTATATAGTGCTCGACATCCTCACTGCTGATGCACTGTCCAAGATTGCCGACTCTGGCGAGGCTGGAAGCACGCGGCTATTCACGTCGCCGAGGAAGGAGAAGAAGTGGAGCGGCGTGCAGGTCGCAGCGGCGTAAGTCTTGCGTCGCCATCCCTCATACTAATGTCGTTTGGTTACCAGAGGTAGCTAACCCTAATATCCGTTTCTCTAGCTACCTTTTCAACCCTTTCACGGTGGCAACATGCCTCGGTCGATCCACAAGCGTTTTCACATCATTCATGATCGTTTACGCCACCTCGAAGGCTGTTCAGGGAAAATCGCTTTCTTCCATGGTCGCGATATCCTTTGCGTCATACCTATCGATGTACCCTCTCCTCTTGGTACCACCGTTACTCCTTCTCTGCTACGACCGCCAACCTGCTTCCCGCCGAACGGTTGCGTCAAAGTTCTACACGATCAATGCCGCCGTTGTACTGGGAACGACTTCCTTCCTCCTCTTCCTCTCATTCCTCGTTAGCGGCGCCTCGTGGGAGTTTTTATGGAGCACCTACGGCATCCAGCTCACCCTTACGGATCTCACGCCTAACGTCGGTCTCTGGTGGTACTTCTTCATCGAGATGTTCGACTCCTTCCGCGCCTTCTTCCTCGGCGTCTTCTGGCTCCACCTATCCTCTTACGTCGGCGGCCTCTCCATCCGCATCCGCACGCAGCCCCTCGCTGTGCTTACCCTCCTCCTGGGCATCTTCTCCATCTTCAAGCCCTACCCATCGATCGCCGACATCAGCCTCTTCCTCGGCTTCGTGCCACTGTACAAGCACGTGTGGCCTCTGATGAGGTACTCGTTCGTCACCATCTCAACGCTCATGTACGCCACTACTCTGGGCCCGGCGTTCTATCACCTGTGGATCTACGCGGGGAGCGGAAACGCCAATTTCTTTTACGCCATTACACTCGTGTGGAGTTTGGGGCAGAGCTTGCTCGTTTCGGATTTGGCGTTTGCTGTGCTGAGGGATGAGTGGGAGGTTGAGAGGCCGGAGATGGTGGGGAAGGAGATTCGGCAGATTTAGTGACAATTAGTCCTGGTAGCTATCGTGGGCACTTGCGGCAAATCCCTTGGACTGTCAGTAAGGCTCCTGTAACATTTTACTCCTCGTCGTTATGCGTTACTCTAGATGTGAAAATACTGTCGACTCCTGCCGGCACGGGCCACGGAGATGAGATGAATAAAAGTTTCACTACATTTCTCTTGTTGCTGGGCCATCGCTTACCATACATTCTCTGTGGAGTACCCTCGAGGGAGCTCGCTCGCTAATACCATCGAACCATCGTGTGGTTTCGGAGATCCAACATAAGCACAGCATGTCCCTAATGTAAAAGTGCTAGAGCACAGTGGTTACAGTCTGCCTCATTGGAGGGTATAGACGATGCTGAAATAGACGTCAACGGGCGGTTACTGGTTCAGCAAGTTCCCTTCTCGGTGCTCTCTTGATTGCACCGCCTTTATGACTTGGCCACAAATAAGTCCAATGAAAAATAAGACTCAGTCCGTCTTCCTCCCGATGCTCGCCGAGGTGGCATCTTACTTGGCAAGCCCTTAAGCTCTGAGGCAACGGGCGACTCTACCGCGGGCCATCTCGGAAAGGCCCTGGTTCATCGGTGCTAACACATCATGCTTCACAAAAAAACGTAGCAATAATTCCGCTTCATCATAGAATGCCGACAGGACAGGCTTCACGCCTCACCATACCCTCATACGTCTCATCCGACACACCCCCTACAAGCAGCCGCATAGCATACTTCGTACCCTCCCACTCCGCATGCTTTTCCGCGCGCGATAGCAACTCATCCAAGGTCAAGCACCACCCAGGCCCCTCGTGGTAGCGACTCATAGGTTTAAGAAACCCCCACAGCATATGTGGGCCTCGACCAGCGACTAGGACACTAGGACTTCGGCTGAAGACAGGAAGGGCATACAGCTGCACGAGCGTCGTCTCTGTGGTGCTCGCACAGTTGGTTGCAGTTGGTGAAGATGGTTGAGTGGAGGGAGAGAGGTGGTATTTCTGGATCCAGGCAATAATGTTATCGGACTCCGGCGAAGCTGTAGTGATATCAGTCGGGCGGATTCCTCCACGTCCCTGCTTCACAGCTTCGATCACGAACGTTTCGATGAGGTCGGTAACCCGGTCCTAGTCTTCCCTATTTACGCTGGCTGCCGTCTTCGGTGGGAGGGTGCAGAAGCCCACTTCTTGTAAACCTTCGACGAGGCGAAGGCTACTGGTGCTGCATTGGGTTGGGACGCTCGAAAGTAGGAGCTTGCCGCCCCCTTCGCCTTCAGCCCGCTTCCAGTGATATATCGTCGTCGGAAGTCCTGCAGCTTCTGTGACGAGTAAGAGGTGCCGGTTGCAATATGTGGCTTCGACCTGTTCGACGAGACTTAGGCGAGTTTCAGGCCCGAGGTGGACGATCTTTGTCAAGGGTGGCCCTGGATACGGTGGTGGCGGCTCTGTGTTCTCCATTTGTGAGGAACATGAAGATCAATGCAACAGAGGTTGAAGGGGATCCTGTTACAACTACACAGCCAAACACCCAGTTATATGAGGACTCGTTACACAGCGTTTACTGAATTCGGAGAAGATAGCATCCTCCCTATAGATTCACTACAGCCTCTGCCGATACATCTCGAGCCCACTACCTTGCAAAGTCTCATTTACGAGGGAAGGAAAGGAACAAAAAAAAAAAAAAAAAAAAAAAAGGTAAGAGAAAAGAAGGAAAAAAAAGTCAAAAAGAGAGAGACAAACTATTTTTTTTAAAAAAAAAATTGCCTAGCATCGATATGTCACTCTTGGAGCTCTACGCCCCCCGAGTTCCGCCGCGGAAACACAAAGCCGCTCTATTTTCGAGGTTGAAGCTCCCGTCCTGACATGCATTGGTCCAACAAGATCTCGCGACGCATTGCGCAGCTGCAGACCTCAGTCCACTTTGGCAGCAAAACCCCGTGCAGCGGATTTTTCACCGCCTTTTTGCGCAATTGTGTCCTACAAATGTCTCGTTTTTTTCTGCAAGTTAACAATAGTACCCGGTCCAATCTGGCAGATGAAAACAACTTAGGCGCCTCGCCTGTCTGGCAAGGGCGGCATGCCTCCAGGAACACTTTGCGTATATTGGTGGGGATTGTTCTCACTATCCGAAGGAATGCCCAGACCTTTGTTGTGTATAACTTCGTAGATGAGGCCAATGCAGGGATTTCCGGAAGAACTCGTTGAGATTTCCTCACCAGGGAGTCGTTCAAGCCAGCACCCCCTTGTTCAAATCCCCTGTTTGTTGCAAAAAAGAGATATAAGTTTCTTCTACTTCGTACGGGGCGATGCATGGTGATATGAATAAGGAGCAGGGGGGAAATGTTGCTTGGAACACGGGTTGAGGTCTGGACAACGGGTTTGAAGAGTCGTGTAACAGGGGCCTGAGAGGAACAAGGCCGCTTAGGGGAGCCGCATGAAGCTTCATTCATCCTCGAAGTGCCTGGCACGCCGTTTGATGAAGAGCCTCGTGCTATAGGCAAATTAACCAACAATGGCTAGAACTTGTAACACTCGCGCGTTCCATCATCCTACTGTTGGGGGGCTTGCTCAGCTTGATAGGCTCCGGGTGTCCGGATTCCCGGCTTGTTCGGAGCCGTGCAGTGTAGGCCCGATTTAAGCCGACCGGGCTTTTTGGTGGGTCCCCCGGAGCCACGTTGCTCTCACACCCTCACTCTTACCTTTTGAGATGGAAAGCAAAACATCATTCCGATTTTTAAGGGGATTCGTCATCACAGCCTTCACAGGTCTTCGGTAGGTCACATCGTTTGATGTGTAGCGGAAACGAGAACCCGTTCCTGATCTGCACTATTACACACCTACGAAGACTAAGATGCCTAGACCATCAAGGTCTCTTTGATAGATGTTTCTTCGTATCATCTTTCAATTAAGAAACGAGGAAGGGTGCGAGGGACGGACTGTCGGCTGTAAGTCCCCGGCATCACGATCACGGCCCCGGGGGAAACACGAATATAAAATCTCGGCACATCGCCATCGGTTAAGACTTGCAAGCCACTCAACCTACGTAATCCTTGGCTCGTCACAACTGTCGCAGTACTGCAAACAAGAAAGCTTTTGCGGACTCGTACGTGGCAGGTGGCAGGTTACGCCTAGCCTCGGGTAAAGCGAGCTCAGGAATGAGGCGAGGTTTCCACTAGGCGCAGAGTAGCCAAGTAACATTGTGTTTCCTCCACCTGGAGTTATTCATGCCCACTGGTCGTGGGCGCCACATGACACAAGGATCAAGAACAGGTCCGCGATCCCGAGAGAAAATACTCGGAGGGGAATGTTGGACTTATTCGAGTTTTTGGAAATGTGGATGCCTAGCGAGCAGGAAAAAAAAGTGGGTGTATTGACCCTGCCACCCCCATTCTTGGAGGTCTTACGAAGTATTCCCATCAACGCGGGATGCAACTTGGCCAGGTCCTTGCATGCATGGAGGCTTCGTAGTTAATTAGGAAGCGTGTGAGGGTTGGCGGGAGATAGCGGATGTTCTCTGGAATGAGGGCTTGTGTTTCCGGAGTCTACAAGCAGGATACCGGGAAAATCCCCCGGATTTCTTTCTCTTTTGCTTCTCGCAACTTTCAAAAAGAATTGACACAGAGCTTGGCGGGCCATGCTATGGAACTCGTACGTCTCTTCAGATTGATTTTTTTTTCTTCCTCTTCTTTCCCACTCTTTTTCTTATCAGATCCGAATCTAAATCCGAATGGGGGCTATGGGGCCGGAAAAATGGGGGGCTTCAATGGAGAGCTAAAGTGAACGTATGTTGTGGTAACTGCAGGGTCCTTGTCTCAAGATGGGGTCAATCAGGTCAATCAGGCAGACAAATGGAACCCTTGAGCTGTTTCTGCGATATCGGGATGGGTGGGGGACGTTCGTGGACTGTCGCGGCTGAATCCGGGTTCGAATGGTTTCGATCAATGGCGGTCTGGGTCCGACGCGAGTCTGTAGGCGAGTCTGAACGTCGTGTCTCGAAGAAGAGTTAACGCAAGGGGTTGAGGTGCTCTTGACGAGTTGAATTGGTGAATGAGAGCCGCCCAAGGACAAGGTCGAAGATGATGGATGATGTGATGATGAGCCTCATCTGTTTCGGACTTACGAAGTACGGCACCCTAAACAAAGACGACAGCTACACTACAATACACTAGTTGAAAGCGGCTAGTCGAAGATTTTTGACGTTTTAGCGTGTTGAGGGAAATTATCAGAGCCTCTAATCTGGCACTATGTGACGGAGCTCTCCGTGCCCTCTCTTGAGATGGCTTCGCAGGAGTTCAAGCTCAGTTCTATTTTAAAGTGTCGAGAAACAACAGTGTGTGCATAAGAAAGCAGGGCTCGAGGACATTCTTAAAGGATGGGTCGGGGACGAGGTGCTCATGGTCGGTGAGGTATCTTGGTGATTTAATTTGGAAAGCTTGGACAAAGAGGGATCGACGCCCAATGATGCTGGGCTGGCATACTTGGGCTGCCAGGCCAAGATATTATTCGCTAAGGAAAATCGCGGGTCAACAAGAGGCAGGGAGGAGTCCATCTCGATCCCACTTTGATCCGTTGTGATCACCTCGCTCGTGTACTTCGCAGTGTACGTTTCATCTGTAGTAAACTAGCAGGTTTATGTGCACGACCAGAGCCAGAGCATCACGTCACTCTAAGCCTCGAATTCCCGCCTCGGGCTTTAATCACTGCTTCGTTTGGACTCGCCTCTGTTGTGGGTTTCAAGGAATTGACGTTGTTGCTTTCCTCTTGAACACTCGTGCCCGTCACTGATTTATCTGCTTCCTTGTTCTCCCCCCAGTTTAGCGGAAACACGTCGTGGGCATTGGCCAATTGGTTGATCAATTGATCAATTGATGCCCATGACAGGCTGGTTGGCGGTGGGGATCAGGGAACGCCCCCCCTGAAAAACGGCGCGTACCGTCAACAAGCCCCTGCACACAAATTCTGCCAGCCGGAGCTCTCGATCATTGATGTGGTTCTGGGCCCAACCACGCTAAATTCAATAGTGCGAGGGGCGACTCATACGCCATCTGGCTTCCCCGTTTCTGTCAGTCAACCGCCTCGCCATTGGTCTCACCTCCGCTGGCTTCGGGGCCTCAGTGCACAACTCTATTGATGCCCACTCTTTCACCAGAAAATAGTGTGCAAGACACGACGCTACAGTAGTACCAAATGTGCCAATGTGTCGTGGTGCAACGGTAATTTGTCGGCTGAATCTCTAAATTCCGAGGAAATTTCCCCCTTACAAAATTATTTTTTTTTTTCCTCCCCCTGCCCCCACTCGCCCCTTCCCTAGTGGCTGTGATGGGAAGCTCCCTACCAAATGTATAGATTCTTACTTCGTACTTGGACCCCAATTGATTCCCGGCTCAACTCTTCTTCATCCTCACCTCTCCTTCACCAGCTTCGACACGCCTCATCTCAATCCTCCTTCCTCCCCCGCCTCCTCCCTTCCTCTCTTCACCTTCTCCCTCGTCTTCCCTAATTGCCAATGTGCTAGCGAACCTACCGATTAATCCCTTCTCGACCTTGTCGACATGCTTGATCCGAATCTGCTGCCTCAGCGCTTCCGCGGTGAGCAGCCCGCACCTCCCAATGCAGCCCCAAGCTGGCTCAACAGGAAGGTCACGCCGCTACTTCGGCTCTTGTCCAGGCTCGCATGCGTCCACCCTATCCACACTGTGGTGATTGTAGCTCTCCTTGCTAGCACCACCTATGTCGGTCTGCTCCAGGAGAGTCTCCTAGACCTGAGCTGGAGGGTCGACAGCGCCGACTGGTCCTCGCTCACCGAGGGCAGCCGAAGTCTTCGCGCCGGCCCGGACACCAACTGGAAGTGGCAGACTGTCGAACTCGAGTCTATCGCCGACATTGACCTCGCCCGCTACGATCACCAGGCCCTCGTCACCTTCGTCTTCCCCGACTCGCGCTCTGGCGAATCGCCCACGAACCCTCCTCGATCTCAGGCCATTCCCGTTCCTAGGAACCTGTCCATCCGATCCCTGCCATCCACCGACAACTCCTTGAGTGCCTACTCCCAGGATAGCGCCCTGGCTTTTTCTATCCCTTACAGCCAGGCTCCCGAATTCCTCGCCGCTGCTCAGGAGATTCCCAATGACGAAAGCGCAGCCGCCGAGCCGCTATCGAAAGAAGCTGAGGGCCCCGAGTCCAAGCAATGGATCATGAAGGCTGCCCGTGTGAACACTCGCAGCACAATTGTCTATTGGGCTAAGAATTTCTGGGGAGAGTTCCTTGACCTCTTGAAGAACGCAGAGACTTTGGATATTGTCATTATGGTGCTTGGCTACATTTCCATGCACCTCACTTTTGTCTCTCTCTTCCTGTCTATGCGACGAATGGGCTCCAACTTTTGGCTTGCTGCGAGCGTTCTCTTCTCGTCCGCCTTCGCCTTCCTCTTCGGACTCATCGTGACAACCAAGCTCGGCGTTCCCATCAGCTTGGTCCTCCTATCCGAAGGTCTTCCTTTCCTCGTCGTCACCATCGGTTTCGAGAAGAACATTGTCCTTACCAGGGCTGTGCTTTCCCACGCCATTGAGCACCGCAACTTCCACGAACAAGACAAGAAGTCTGGAAAGAAGTCGGAGGTTTCGCTACCCGACATTATCCAATACGCTGTGCAGGCCGCCATCCGCGACAAGGGTTACGACATTGTGCGAGACTACGCCATTGAGATTGCCGTCCTAATTCTCGGTGCAGCTTCCGGTGTCCAGGGTGGTCTGCAGCAGTTCTGCTTCCTCGCCGCCTGGATCCTCGTCTTCGACTGCATCTTGCTCTTCACCTTTTACACGGCGATTCTCATGATTAAGCTCGAGATTAACCGCATCAAGCGTCACGTCGATGTGCGCAAGGCCCTCGAGGCCGATGGTGTGAGCCGTCGCGTTGCCGAGAACGTCGCCAAGAGCAACGACCCCAAGGAGGCAAGCCTATTTGGCCGCCGCGTCAGGAGCAACAGTGTCCCCAAGTTCAAGGTTCTGATGGTGTCGGGCTTTGTCCTCGTGAACATTCTCAATCTTTGCACCATCCCCTTCCGAAACACGTCGCTGTCCAACATTTCATCATGGGTCGCTGGTCTTAGCGCCGTCGTCACTTCCCCTCCGGTTGATCCTTTCAAGGTTGGCTTGAACGGATTGGATGCTATCCTCGCCTCGGCCATTGCCAAGGCGCAGCCGACTTTGGTTACGGTGCTGACGCCCATAAAATACGAGTTCGAGTACCCCTCGGTCCATTATGCTCTCCCATCTGGCGCCGCCGGCGAGGCCACTAACCACCTGGTCAACTACGGCGTCGGTGGAAGGATGGTTGGAAGCCTGCTCACAAGCCTGGAGGACCCCGTCCTTTCCAAGTGGATTATTGTCGCCCTCGCGCTCAGCGTTGCGCTCAACGGCTACTTGTTCAATGTTGCTCGCTGGGGAATTAAGGACCCTAACGTTCCAGATAGCCAGATCGACCGGAGCGAGCTCGCCAGAGCCTCGGACTTCAATGACACTTCCTCTGCGACGCTCCCTCTCGGAGAGTACATGCCTCCTTCGCAGAGGCTAGCCAAGCCCCTTACTCCTGCGACCACGGACGACGAGTCTGAACTGTCCATGAAGAAGATCGTCGAGCCGGTAGACCAGTCTCTGATGCGGCCCATTCCCGAACTCGAAGAGCTCATCAAGCAGGATAGGGTTCCCGAGATGTCTGACGAGGAAGTGGTTCTCATGGCCATGCGCGGAAAGATTGCTGGATATTCCCTGGAAAAGAGACTCAAGGACTTTACTCGCGCTGTCAAGATTAGGCGAAGCATTATCTCACGGACCAAGGTTACGGCGGCGCTCACGCAATTCCTCGAACGATCCAAACTGCCGTACGAGCAATACAACTGGGAGCGCGTGTTCGGCGCGTGCTGCGAGAACGTTATCGGATACATGCCATTGCCTGTCGGTGTGGCTGGGCCTCTCGTCATTGATGGACAGAGCTACTTTATTCCGATGGCGACGACGGAGGGTGTGTTGGTGGCTAGTGTGAACCGAGGATGCAAGTCGATTAATTCGGGCGGCGGTGCGGTGACTGTATTAACCGGGGACGGCATGACTCGTGGCCCCTGTGTGAGCTTCGAGACGTTGGAGCGTGCGGGAGCGGCCAAGCTGTGGCTCGATTCGGAGGCGGGACAGACGGTGATGAAGAGGGCGTTCAACTCGACGAGTAACTACGCTCGTCTCCAGACGATGAAGACGGCGCTGGCGGGTACGAACCTCTACATCCGGTTCAAGACAACGACAGGCGACGCCATGGGCATGAACATGATTTCGAAGGGCGTGGAGTATGCGCTAGACGTGATGAAGAACGAAGGTTTCGAGGACATGACGATCGTGTCGGTGTCGGGCAACTACTGCATCGACAAGAAGCCGGCGGCCATTAACTGGATAGACGGGCGCGGCAAGAGCGTCGTGGCCGAGGCCATCATTCCCGGTGACGTGGTCAAGTCGGTGCTGAAGACGGACGTGGAAACGATGGTGGAGCTCAACGTGAATAAGAACCTGATCGGGTCGGCGATGGCGGGTTCAGTTGGTGGATTTAATGCGCAGGCGGCGAATATTGTGGCGGCTGTTTTTATTGCTACGGGTCAGGATCCGGCGCAGGTCGTGGAGAGTGCCAACTGTATCACCATTATGAAGAAGTAAGCTCCCCCTTACCCCCTGCGTTTTGATTTATGCCCACCCCATCTCTCTCTACGGATAACTAACACTGAGTCAATCTAGTCTTCATGGCAATCTCCAGGTCTCCGTGTCGATGCCCTCGCTCGAGGTTGGTACGCTCGGCGGAGGCACGATCCTGGAGCCCCAGTCCGCCATGCTCGAGATGCTCGGCGTGCGCGGACCCCACCCGACCAACCCAGGCGAGAACGCCCGCCGACTCGCCCGAATCGTTGCGGCAGCCACGCTGGCTGGTGAACTGTCTCTCTGCAGCGCTCTCGCCGCCGGCCATCTCGTCAAGGCCCACATGGCGCACAACCGATCGGCACCGCCTACGCGGTCTAGCACGCCTGCTCCCATGACTAGTGGAAATAAGGGCGGCCTGTCGATGACGCTGGGCAACTTGGGTGCGTTGAGTGCCGCGGCTATTGAGCGGGCTAAGCGATGAACAAAGAATGATAGGAGGGATGATTAAAGGAAACGGAACTCTTCTGCTGTGGAAAGAAGTGATGGATTATAATGGTCTATGCATTGTTTGAATAACACGGGTTGTCAAGCACTGCACCAATGAGGGGTTTCCTTGGTTTCATTCTCTTTGTCTCTCTCTATCTAGGCCTCGTTCGGAGGCAGTTCATCTCTTCCCGATCAATTCTCTTCGGTTTATTAATTTTACTTGACTATTTTCTTTTCCCCTTTTACTCGGGAACCTGAACTTTTTAATGCCCCCCTTAGGGCGTAAGATAGATTCAACGCTGTGTGTACACGAATATATCAATCCTTGCGTTGGAACATCATGTTTGTCTCTTCTCGTGGTGTATCTGGTGCTACTACTATCGAATGCCCCATTGAGTTGCATCCTTCCCGCTGAAGACTAGAACGTCGAAAATAAGAACAAGGTGAAGAGAGAGAGAAAAAGAAAAAAAAAATTTGGCATCGCTTGCGTCATCAACATCATCAACATCATCAAGTCCCTCAGACAACGTGACATCCCCTTCTCACCCCCTCGCCTCTCCCAGCTTCCTAACCCTCTCCACCTCCTCACCCGCCATCCCCACAACCCTCACGCCCTCTTTCTCAATCTCCTTCTTGACATCCTCCCATTTATCAGGATCCACGGCCCTCGTCCCCTCCTCAACGATATACGTCACAAACCCCTCCCGCGCCGCATCGACCGCCGACCACCGAACACAATAATCCGCCGCCAGCCCGACGACAAAAACGTGCGTGACGCCCTCATCCCTCAACCTCTTCGCGAGCCCCGAATCGGAGACTTTGTACGGATCGTAAAAGGCGGAGTACATCTCCACCGTCGGGTTGGTTCCCTTGCGGATGACGTCGTCTAGGAGATCGGCCCGGAGTTCGGGGACCAGAGAGGCTCCCGGTGTGTCTTGCACGCAGTGGACGGGCCAGAGGGGGGTTGTGTAGGAGAGGGAAGGATCCTCGGGGTGGTGGATCGTGTGGGTGGATGTGAAGGGGGCGGCGGAGGGGTGGTTGGAGGCGAAGGAGATGTGGGTTGGGGGGTGCCAGTCGAGGGTGGCGAGTTTGAGGGGGAAGGGGTAGGTGAGGAGGAGGTTTGTTGGGGGGAGGATGGAGCGGGCGGAGGGGACGGGGAGGGCGCCGTTCTGAAGCTGCCTGTTAGTGAGATGTTTTCTCTTGTGTATGTGTGCGTGTGTGTGTGGAGATGCGTATAAGTCGATATGTTGGGGATGGAAGGGAGACGTACGGGGGGACAAAAGTCCTCTTGGAGGTCGACGACGAGGAGGGCGGGTTTGTAGGCCATCGTGGATGTTCTAGAGTTCCAGAAGCTCTCGTGCTCTCAAATCGGGGACCTGAATGGTGTGGTTGTCTCCTGTAATTCTTTCCCGGGTATTTGAGGGAGATCAATTGACGATAACTCGTGACATAAGCACAGAAAAAGAAGAGGAAAGAGCAAAGCAGACAGAATAAAAGTCATCGAGGTTACAATCCAAACAAGGCAGGCAGACTCGAGCCCGTCTTTTAGACTTTCCCAACAGCCTGGGAAATGATAAGAAAAACGGGCCTGGGGCTGAACTTGCGCCCCCTGCATGAGCTAAACCCCACGTGGAGTCTCCAGCCTGGCACATCGTTCCCTAAAAGTGTGGCAGTGGCAGTGGCCGTGGCCTGGGGGCAGGCAAATCTCAACGCTATATCTTCCCCCCAAGGAACGAAAAACGCAGTTCAGAAAGAAAGAAGCGGCGGCGTGTGCAGCCCTATCGGATGCAGACCCTTTCCGAGACAAGTCTCTCGACCATCCCGAGTGTCCGTTCGAGTGGGGGATTTAGGGGCAAGTCTTAGCGGGATCAATATCCTCTAGGCCTGGCCATTTTCTCCAACCAGCAAACGGCCTCATCATCCAGCAAAATCGGGATCGTTGAGCTCTTCAATCAGGAACAAGAACGAGATAAGCCGGCATCATCACCATGGCGCGCCAACATACCGCCCTCAAACTCATCCTCCTCCTCGCCCTCCTTATTCTTCTCTATCTCGCCATCACCTCCGACTTCTCCTCTCTCATCTCACCGGCCACCCTTCCGCTCGTGCCTCAAACAGTCACCCACATCGTCCTCTTCCAGTTCAAATCCTCAGTTGACAACGCCACCATCAAGAAAGTACGTCCTGGCTCAACTCTTTCATTTTCTTTTTATTATTATTATTATTACTTACATCCTATTTTCAAACATAATGAAATAAATCTAACGACGAAAAAAAAACAGGTCTACAACCGAATGCTCTCCCTTAAACATGAGTGTCTTCACCCCGTCCGCTCGAAGCCTTACATCCGCTCCGTAAAAGGCGGTATTGATAACTCACCCGAGGGTCTTCAGGTATAAGCCCCTTTTCTTCTCTTATTCTTTCCCCCCTCTCCATCCTTGATTCTTCTTCGACGATAAAGTACTTACAAAATCCAGAACGGCATAACCCATGCCTTCGTCGTCGAGTTCGCCTCCGTCTGGGACCGCGACTACTACATCCGAGACGATCCCGCCCACAAGGCCTTCGTCGAGTGGGTTGGATCCGCTGTGGAAAACGCCATCGTTGTGGACTTTTCACTGGGGAGACTAGAATAAATCCAAGAGTTTATACTTTAAACCAGAGAAGAGAAGAGAACATCATTATTTTTGTACCGAGCAAGCTCGGATCGCTAGAGATAAACACTATAGACACTCGACTTTTTTTTTTCCTCAATCCGTACTCCGCTGATCCATCTGAGCCCGCTCGAATGTATCGTCAATGCTGCGATGAAAGTAGTCTTACAAACTTCAATATTGGAACTTCTTTTTCTCTTTTTCCTTTTTGCTTTGCTTTTCGTTTTCTCCAATCCTTCCCCCATATTTTTTTGTACTTCCCACCGTCTCTACCCATCTCACACCATCTTTTTTTTGTGCTCAAACCATCAACGTCTTCAGTGCCTCTCCTAGGACAGCCGCCGACGGATCCTCCCCAAACACCTCCGGCGGCTTCTTATCCAACCCCATCAGCTCATACACCGCCGTCTGCGCCGACCGCACGGAATACTCCATCGTAAACGTCACGTCCCTCTCAATCTCCACGTACTGGCCCATCAAGCCCAGGTTTTTGCTGCCCTTGGGGACCACCTGCGGCCGGCTGTCCTTCTTCCTCTTTATGTACGGACTCGTAATGAGGGGCATCAGCACGGGAAGCGTTATGGAATTCTCCAGTGTCGGTTCTAAGGGGTAGTCCATAAACCGGAGGATCTCCGTTAGGATTTCCCTACCACTACACTCCGTCATTGGCTTGTTCACGAAGCGGCCAGGCTGGTCGGGGTACAGTCCGTAGCCCCAAAAGACGGTGGTGTCCTCGTCCTGGTCGGTGAAATAGGGCTGCTTTGGTATCGTAATGGAGACTAGCCACGGGCTGTCGCGGAACGAGAGGAGAGGACATGTGCCATGGGTGCTGCCAGCCCACTGGAGCAGGTGCTGAATAAAGGTCCTATCGAACATGGTTATGGTGAAGGCAACCCCCATCGACTCGCCTTGGTGCTCGCGGAAGAGGCGAGGATCGCCAAACTTCGCGGCGTGCGGGTTAATTTTCGGATCCGCCAGCTCGAGCCAAAACTTCCAGATAGGATCGGGATGGTCGTGAACCCATCTATTAGTGGGCATGGGAAGGGGCGGTCTCGTGTTTGTGCCGGACTTGGAGCCTGAAGCCATGGAGCCGAGCGTGATCAGCACGATATCGGATGGCCGTACGGGGATGATGAGATCTGAGTTCTCTCGGTGGACAGCTATGCCCGACACGATCATGTCTCTCGTGTTGGGCGCGAATTTGAGGGTTTGTGCCGTGGTTCCTAGGCTAGACTTAGCAATCTTTGGCCTTGATCATAATAGACATTTACATTGACCAAATGTGTTTCGGGGGGACACCCAATGCCTCTCGGCTTACCGTATTGAAAGTCAACACCCTGCTCCCTAAGGTAGGCCACTAAAGGGACAATCGCCGCCTCAAAGTCATTCGACGGCATGTACTCCATGCCAGCCATCGTGCTGATGTTGGGAAACTCGTGCAAGAATCGGTGAAGATACCGCCGTAGCTCGATGGCGCTATGCCACGGCTTAAACAAGTACATAGTAGACACCATGTCCCAAAAGTTGGTCTCGAAGAACTCTAGCTCGAAAAAGTCCCGTATGGTGGCATTCCCAAGGCTCTCTTCCGATCGGAGGATGAAGGCCATGAGGGCTGCCTGATCTCGCGGGTTCAGGCCCATGGTCGCAGTATCTACGGTTTCAGGGCGACCGTTTTCATTCATGGAGACCAGTCGAATCTTGGTGCGCGGTCTTTCCTTGGGGCTGGAACGGTTCCTCCGGATGTGGTCCAGCAGTGTCTTCGGCGGTTCTTCATCATGCTTTTGCTGCTCAGGCTCAGACTCTTGCTTGGATGCTGGTTCCGGCTCTGGCTCCACGTGCCCCTCGCTTGCCCCTCCCTCTGGCTCTGGTTCTCCCTCTACGTCCGCCTTTGCCTTCGCTTTTGCCTCTGCCACTGCCTCTACCACTGCCACTGCCGCTGCCCCGTTGGTGCTACCATTAGCACCATTCGCATGCGCCTTTGTCTTCGAGCGACACGGATACGGCACCTTGGACAACGTGTCGTAGAAACACCGGTAAGAAAAGTTAAGCTTCCGCGCCGCACGGATGACGTAACCTTTCCTTGCCGGCGGCAAAGTTGGACGCGCAGAGGCGCCAGCGGCACCAGGACGGGCATCTGAATCCTTGGGTTCGTCCTCGGCAGCCATAGATCCACCGGGAGTCGGGCTCGCCTCCAGGATATGAATGCGACTCGCGGGCACCTGAGCATCAGTGATCAGATGGACAGCGGCGGCCAGAGAGGCAATGCCACCGCCAACGAGCCAGGCGTCCGTGTTCAACGGGTCGCGTTGGGCGCCGGTACCCGTGGCGCCATTGTTGACGAAGACTGTAGTAGTGGTGGCGGCGTAGGAGTTGGTGAGTGGTGGTCCCTCCATTTCAAGATTGTTTGTTATAAGAAAAGGTGCTGCACTGGTCGAGTCGAGACTAGTGCATGTGATGTTCAGCCATGGGCCAGATCAGGAAGAGCTTAATTCGGGATGGTTTGGGCATATTCAAACCCCTTCGGAGGAAAGTGACTCTTTCGTTTTTAAAGGCACATACTTCGTAGGGGACCCAAGACACTCGACCGGCGGGAAGAACAGGAGAGTAAACGTCAAGGTGGGTAATGTGTGTGGGGATTGAGGGAATCAAATGCAACGGGCTTGGATGGGGCAACTTTTTGGGGGGTCCACGTTTGATGGTTTGGCGGTTTGGCGGTTTGACGGGTTGTGTTTGTGGGGTCAGGAGGTCAGGGAAAAGTTCATCGCAAATGCAATGATTCATGTCTCGTTCATCATTTTTGGTTTTTTTTTTTAATGGTTGCAGCGGGAAGACCGAGGAGTGAAAGGTGCTAGTTATTAGGGTGCTCCGTGCTTGGTTGCTAGAGAGAGCTAGAAGAGATATGAAGTAGATACACACGATATTTACATGGACCACGGGTTTAAGCTCAATGTCTTATACCTCACGTTGCTTGGCGTGGGCTGGTACAAGAGTATGGGTTGGGCAAGGGTGTGCGAAACATTAATAAGGATGGCAAGAGGTTGAGACTTGATGGATTGATGCAAGTGACATGTCATGTCATAAGACGCAAGTGGCTTGGGCACCGTGAAAAAAAAGGCAGGCACACACACTTCGTGGAGTTTAGCAAACAAGCGTTTGTCGCAGGTCCGAGGCGCATCTAAATTTGAGATTGAACCGGTCAGGGTGTAGAAAAAAGGGGACGTGAAAATAAATCTTATCGCAGACGAGGGATTGCAATCATCATAGACCCATCAACAATGGGCTTAGTCCCTCCTTCAGGATCGAGTCCCCACAATCTAGTGTCGTCAGTCTGCTCCTGCCATGCCATTGCGCTTCCAGTAGTGAACTGTTTAGCATGGACAGAAATGGCAAGAGCGCATGCAGACCTCAAGTGTCGAGGTACAAGCACAATAGCTCAACAAAAGCGAAGTGATGTTGCCTGAATAGAATCGTATGTCTTTCACACAAGCAAACAGCATTTTCAGTTGAAGCGAGAGCGCGGCAAGCGCAACCTTCAGTCGTTGCAGGTTCGGCAGCTGCGATCAGACCGGGTGCATCAATTAATCTGGTCGTGGTCGTGGTCGTGGTCGTGGGTGTTGTTGCCGTCGGCGTTGCAGCCGGTGAAGCATGGAAGCAAGCGGGAAAGTATCAACGACGTAATATCACGAGACTTGGAAGTTAAGACGGACCGGACCGGACGTCGGATGAGAGCGGCGGAAAGAGGAGCTGTAAAGATGAGACTTGCTCCTGCCTCCTTGGTCCTTGGCGCCTTCCCTTTCTCCCCGGACGTTTCTTTCCGAGCCAGAGATACCACGTCTCTACTCAAGAGTACTCCAAGTATTTCGTACATTCATGATATCAAGCTTCTCCGGCTTTTCAGAGTCACCTCTCGTGGCAGGTGCGTCTACATGTGTGTGCCACTGCTTGCCTGCTGCGTGTCCCTGTGCGTCCCTGCAGCTTGTTTCTGTCTCTGCCGGACGCATCATGGCTCTCATGCCTTGCTTCATTCGCTTCTGAACGAGACTAATCTTCGCAGAGCAAGGGGGAAGAGCCTCGGTTGACTCCTATATTTTTTGTCATCTTCAAACGTCGGCAAACGGCCACGACAGTCAAGACCCATTTCGTTATATTAAGTCGGAGCACTAGAGTTGCAGCAGAAATCTCGTCAAGACCTTCCGAGGTTAATGCCTCCCGCTTACACACGGATCATGGATTGCTTATCGTGTCTTCCCCTTTGCCCGTACCCGAATCGCAGTGCCCGAGCCGTGAATAAAGTACGAAGTATTGTTCCATCATCCTCGACCAGGATCCGATCAAGAAACCTGGGGTAATTGATATGTGGATGTGTCACACTCTCACTCGCAGACTCACAGACACGATCCTTCTGCTCCTTTTTTCTCTTCTCTCCCAGGATCTGCCCGACAGGATCGGCCCCCACAGCTCATGAAGACACACCTTGAGGCACACACGGCTGGGATCAATGCCGAAATTTGATAATAGTTCAGACCCATTAATAACGAAACAATTCCTTCCATATCCCGTGAAACAAACAACGTTGGCGTTTCTTCATTCCAGAAGCCCGTGTCCCCCAGCGCTGCCCTGCACAGCTTGCTTGGCTGAGCCCAATATGCAAGAAACGCGTGGGGGTCAAAAACGGTTTAAAGGTCCACCTGCGGTCCACCTGGCAAGAATCGTACGATTTGCCTTCTACAACGCATCGGGCCAAGGCGTAATATAAAAAAAAAAAAAAAAAAAAAAAAAAAAAAAAGTTGTGCACAGGGGGAAAAAAAAAAATGCTCACACTTCCACTCTACAGGACTCCTATTTCGGCTCTCGTTCTCGCGAACTGAATCTATCCCCTAGCTCTTAAAACCCCTATTATGCCTTGACAACGGCGTTGCGCGGTCGTCTGCGGTCGTCTCCGCCCGAAGCGGGTGGGACATGCTCTCATCAACGTTCCTCAAGTCAGCCGCCGCTCGTTTCTTACTCGAACTTGCATCGTACGGCAGCATGTCTTGACTCGGTTTTGCTCGCCCGCATCTAGCATCCACCCGGCAATGCAAGTCGACTCGACCCATGCCTCGTGTGTACTAGTCCTCATCGTGCCCGGCATTGCAGCATCCTGGGCGTCGATGTTGCATGTCGCTCTGGGCCAAATATGGAGACGGATGGAGCTTATGCAATCTGCGCGCTGCATCCGGTCCGGGCCTCCCTTTCCGACCTTCCGAGGACTTGTTCGATTTTTGGGGCGTGAGAGGCGTGAATATCAAACTTGTTCGGCAGTCGAGATGGCAAGCATCGATGTGGGCAAGTGTCCTCCTGAGTGGACGTAGCACTTCTCGAGTCCTCACCGCCAATCGGATGGAACAAGGAGACATGAATTCTTATGGAAGATGGTCGACGTACGCTCGGTCAGGAAAATGGGTGTATTCTCAATATTACAGGCCATAGCGTTGTTCTCCACTCTTGAGAGCAAGAAGAAGATAGGTAAGACGCTTCGTCCTGATTGTAAGTTCATATCTGGTCCACATCAGGCCAAGCGAGGGCCAAAATGGGGAGTATAAGCAACAGCTTCAGTCGACCCGCCGATTCTTCGATCAACCATGTGTCTGTAGATGGATCTTAAAACTCCTTTGCCCACTCGCCAAGGTCATAGACCGGCATCCACATCTTCTCCGAGGAGGAAGTAAACCATGAAAATAATCTTCACTATGTACTAGCAAAGCAAGGCTCATTCAACCAGTTAGATATCCAAAACTGCACACTCAGAAGAATTCATAACGCCACGTAAATGCAGTGAAACGCTAGATGTCCTCCAATCCACCACCTAGACACACACCGCCAGAACTCGGTTCTATCCAACGCTGCCTACCATCTCTAAAGCTTAATAGAAATATCATACGCATCCAAACCAACAGCAACAACGCTCAAAAGGCCAGTATATCCCACCAGGATACCCATGGTCTGCCTGGGCGTCATGTCCAGCGTCGGCACAGTCATATTAACAAGCCCCGTCAACAAATTCGCCAGCAAGAACACCGCAAGGCCATTCCTATTAAAGGCCCTGAGCACACGACTCGTGGCATTGATGTACGCCTCCTTCTCCGTCCTGGCGTCATTGGCATTGTAAAACGCCGGGAAGAAGATGGTGTCGATGAGGCAGCATATTAAGATCTGGGTCGAGTTGAACGCTGCGACCCAGAGGACGTAAGGAAGGTTCGCGAGCCGGCGGGACACGGATAGCCCGAAGCCGAAGCTGTAATCGGTCGCGAAGAAGTATAGCGCTGCCCAGATCATGGACCAGACTGCCATGGTCAACAGGAGCGTGGTCCGCTGAGAGCCCTTGGAGACTCCGCTCCGCGGCGGCGTGATGCTGCGGGGCAGGATGTACATGCCTGCATCTTGGCCGCAGAGGAAGATGGACAGATATCCGATGAAGCTGAAGATGCCCTCCTTGTTCATGGAAAATAGGTTATTCCTCGGCGCCGTCAGAACGAAGGCCTTGAGGGGGGTGTTGTCGAGGGCAAGCTGGTAAACGACGGATAAGAGGACGGCGAGTGTCGCGTAGGAGGGGACGATCTTGAGAGCGGACTGGAAGACGGCGACGAAGGGCGGGAGGAAGCCCAGGGTGAAGAAGAAGTTCCAGTGCACGCCATACTCGGTGACGTGCTCGGCGTAGTCGAGACCCTTGACGCTGAGAGTGCGGATGACTCCGAGGATGAGAAGTGGGAGGGAGTGGCGCATCGATTGCGTTAATCGGCGGAGGAGCGGTGTCGTTCGGCCTTCGGCGCGCTGCTTGAGGACGGGGCGGGCGGCGACTACGCCCGCAGAGTAGACGAAGGAGCCAACGCCTAGATCCATCAGAGAGGTACCCCACGTCTCCACCTTGGCGAATCTTCTTGGGAAGAGTCTGAAGTCGACGGCGAGGATAGCGGTACAGGTCATGATCATCATGGAGCCTCTGTAAGTGGTAAGGAAGGGCTTAAGCGACAGGACGCCGAGAGCTCCGGAGGCATTCTTAGATTTGGCGGCGGGGGGGACAAGGGGCTTCTTTTTCGGGGACGACGAGCTGGGCAGTGCCCAGACGAGAAGAGCCGGGGCGACGAGGAGAAGGCTCAGGAGGATGGGCGTGCTAGAGTATAGCGTAGTCGAGAGGATGATGGTTCCGACGTTGATGAAGTAGTCGACGAGAAAAGCGACGACGCTGTATGATTTGAAGAAGGATTGGCGGGCTTGTAGCACAGACCAGAGGAAGATGGCGACCTACGATGTCAGAGTAAGAGTCAGCGATGCAAAATGCCTCTCACGCGTATTGTGCGACGCGGCTCCTTGTGGACGCGGGCAGTAGTGTTCCAAGGTCTAAGAAGCTAGCTTACCGGTCCGACCGCGGTCACGGCGCTAATCTCGCTGATGGGCCCGCCGGTCAAGTTGGACACGAAGTCCTCCTTGAGTTTCTTGTAATCGATGGACGAGTCGGACATGTTGGCGAGAGTTTAGTGTTTCCTGGAAGAGGACCCCCGGCGATGTCAAGATATCCGGATTAAATCGAGTCGGAGTCAAACATGTCCTAACTCCGCCTGTTTTCTCCGCCCGGGTGCGTAAGTCTGTTGAAACCAGGAAACAGCTACATATGGTCACCTCATGCTATCAGTGATTTCTTGCGATATTGGTACGAGAGGCGCCGCAGCTGCGAAGCTCTATGCCGGTTCGGTTATAGCCTTTTGATGGCGGAATGGCCGGGATGAAGCTCTGGCTCCGTGTCCTCTTTTCTTAAGTTCAATTGTTCTACGACGTCTCCGGTTTTCTGCCCAGTGATTCCACGAAATTGCGTCACGTGCGTAGACCCAGTCCCGCCCGGACGTCCGGAGCATCTCGAACAACTCCCTCGATCACCGGACCTTGTCCAAGGCTTTCAGGCAATCGAAAAATCTAGTTTAATTCCAACACATCTTGGAAATGGCATGATTCACAGAGGCATAGCATAGCATCACGAGGGGCTCCGAGGTTTTATGAGGATGGTACGAAAGTTGTATATTTGTCCCTGTGGACACATCCCCTGCTCGAGGCGGACAATGCTGGTAGTCTCGCCAGGCTTGGGAACGATCCCCTTTCACAAACTTGCCGGCGAGATTTGTACAGGGCTACGTCTGCTTTCGCCTATTTCATGTCGGGCACATGGCGCGGAATCTGAAAGACTCTAAGAACTCGAAGACTTTCATCAAGATGCTCGAAACACGACGTAACCCGAGAACAAAGGCAGTTCGACGATTGGAGAGACGTCAATCAAAACTTAAACGAGGAGCAAGCCCTCGCCACAGCGCTCTGGCACAGAATATCCAAAGGAAGGAAGCCAACCACAAACCGGAGAGTGGATTATTTGACTAGCTAAAATGCCCTCGCACTCGCTGTAGATAAATCAATTGATAGCTGATCAAGCCTTTCTACGTTCGTACACACATGTAAAACCGGACATTGACGAATCTCGGGTTTCTCTAGGCAGCAACCTCCAGACAGGAGCTCGAGAGCCGAATCTCCCCGACGCATGCCCCTGTTATATGCCCAGGACTCCAGGAGGGACAGATCTACGTCGCACAGGTTACACAAGCCCTGGTTGACGCATCTTGGACCAATTGGCTGAGCCATGGACCACGACAGAGCGAAAACAAATATATATAAGTTGGCCCTCTGCCGCACTCTTCCATCTCAACTTCACAGGTCAGAGCTTAACCCTCCAAACTCCGTGTCCTCTCTGTGCGCCTGTTCATTCTGAAATTGTGTATAATGCCGGAAATTTCTTCCGACAATGACCTCCCCAAGTTGCTGAATACACCCACGAAGCAAGTCAAATGGGCAAAGAAGCTGGTGGCAGAGCATCTGGGCAGCGCTGTAAAGCGAGTTGACAAGCCACCAATGCAGGGAATGTTCAGCAGAACGCTGTTCTTAACGCTGGCGGATGGCCGTGAGATAGCGCAGCAGTTCCGCACCGAGCCACTCGACCTCGACGCATTCAAGGTTGCGAGGGAGGCTTTAGGCTCCATTGTGCCCGATGCCACGGCCTTGGAGAGCGAGGAGCTTCTGAATGAAGGCGTTTGGGCGTATTCCCTTACTCGTCTGCCTGGCAAGATATGGCTCCATGGGGTTGCGGGCAAGGGTGCCGAAGGCCGCATTGCCATCAACAAATCCCTGGGAGGCGCTTTCTCTAAAGGCTGGCTCGCTAATAGCAGCGGTGAAGCAATTGAGACCAACATTCGACCTCATCTAGAAGCTATCTTGGCATCACCGTTGGAGGATATCGACCCTTACCGCCATCACTTACAGGGCTTTCTCGACAAGCTGGAACAGCTAAAACAGCTCCCACTATGGGTCACTCATTATGACCTTAATGACGTGAATATCTTAATCGACGAGGATTGCCACGTTACCGGCTTGATTGACTGGGAGCTATCCACTCCACTTCCATTTGGAGTTGGCTTCGGTCGCATTCACACCATCGCCGGCGAATACACTGGCGGAGAGTTTTGGATGCCGGATGAATTCGAGGTTGCGGAAAGAGCCTTTTGGAACGAGATGTTTGATGGGATGCCGACTGACATTTGCGACATGTTGAAGCGACAGATCAACCTCGTCCAGGACGCAGTCATCCTTGGGACTCTGTTGGATTGCTTCTTTCTAGAGGCTGGGAAGGTCGGCTGTAGCAAAATTACTCTGAAGACTCTCCCCCAGTTTCTCACCTATCGAATCCCTTTTGTAAGAGGTGATAATCCCCCATACAGAGAGCCTGCGGCTGCATAAGCAGCTCGACTGAGGGGCGCGCCTGGATAGATCATGAGTTTATCGCGAGTTTATCTCGGAGGGAAAAAGGCTCTGAACTATCGACTTCATAGTCAATCGGAGACTGAATTATCTGCCCGCACGTTTGGACAGGGAGTAGTTCGTACCCGTTTTTCATCCTTGCCTCCATTTGATGAAGCTCCAATTCTTTCGACATGCTTTATCACGAGTTTCTCTCGGCTGATGACCATGGAAAGAAATAAAGGACCCGGGCAGCTACTGCGAGCGATCATGTACGTCATACATCTCCAGATCGATCCCATGGAACAGCCTTTGACATTTGTGCGGGAAGCCGAGGAATGACGGTTGTGTGTTTCTCTTTGTTTGCAGCTTGAAATCCTCCCATCTGAAATCCCTCTTTGTCTGTTCTCAAGTTGGTAGAAAACGATGGGACCAGAGCTGGCCTGATCCCCTAAATATCCTTGGCCGTTTCTTTCACACATGGAATTCCTTTGATGGCGAATCGCAAAGATCTCCTTTCATCACTCGTATCATGACAATGCTCGCTGCCGAAAGAAAGCGTTTGAGAGGCTACCGGTACCCCTGGCCCCGTGTCCCCCTTTTTCGCCATGTTTCTTTTTCGGTCCCATCTCCTCTTGGTTCTTCTTTTTCTTTCTACTTCGTTTCCGTGATCCCTCGCGACCGGTGCTCCCATTGTTCCCGCTCTCAGTATTATTTCCTCCCCAGCAGTTATTAATGTCAGAGATCTCGGCCATGGCTCATGAATCGAACGCAACCCTCGTTACTATAGACTCATCCACCCCAACCACATCGAGACGCCTCAAGCGCGAACTCGGCTGGACTTCAGACTTTAGCTTTGCAAAGCGTCGAGCAGTCGCATCCGCATCTCCGCCTACGCCATCTCCTAGAACTACGACTGACGGCCTCGAATTCAACTCGCTTCCTCACCCACGAGCACAGCCGGTGCTGCACTATTCGTCAGAATACCTCCAGACTATAGACGAGGACGGCCTCTACGAAGCAAAGGAGGACAGCGCAGATTTCACCCAAGCCGGGTATTCGTATACTCCCCACCACCCAACGAAGATGATGTCTCCGTTGCACCACCAACCGAGGCCAAGTCCGAAGCCGAAGAAACATCCCAAACCTGAGGCCCTCGACCTTAACCACCGTGCCCCAGACCGGCTCTGGTCCCTGCACTCGGGCGATCTAAAGCAGTCGCCCGGCAGTCCCGGAACGATCCATCTAGAACTCGCCCAGCTCCGCGAGCACCTCCGGTCTCTGGGCTCCGTCTACCTCGGCAACCTCGAGGCGGCGGACGTATACGTGCAAGCCGTCGCCCTCCGACGAAATTGGACCCCGGCATCGCCGATTAAGGAGGAAAGACAAGAAGTGGGCGATCACCCTCCCGCCGCCGACCGTCCCGAGTTCGGAGAGGACATCGTCGTGAGAGCGAGAGTCCGACCCCGCGACGACCACCGCAAGCCGTTCGTGATCCAGCGCAAATTCAACCTCGCCGAGATGCGCGCCACCATCCCGGACCCCACGCCGGAAGGCCACACCCTCCAGCGACGATCTTCAATCGCCGACCTTGCGAATAGGCCTTACAGCCCGACGACTCCGGTCGGCACGAAGCCGCTCATCGGTCGCGAGAGGCGGCGATCGACGAGTGTCAGATTTGGACCGCTCTCTCCGGCTTCGCCAAGGACGAAGCGGGGACCGATCGGGGCCGGGGCCGAACTCAAACTCCCTCCCCGCAACTCTAATAACCTAATGCCGATTCGTAAGGACTGCCCTGCTTTGTTTTTCCCTTTTGCTCGCCTCCCCCTTTTTTGTCTTAGTCCCTTTTTCGCATTGTCTCCACCACCCTTTTTCCTTCAGAATTGCCTCTTTTTCCTATCTTCATGATCCGGGTCGTCACGAAAGTTAAGGAATACCCCCTCCCTTCCTTTCCATCCCCCCCTTATCACTTACGCCCACACAAAAATAAGTTGATGTGCTCCAATGCTAACGCTGGACCACCACACCGTCTCCGTAGACTTGGAGTATGCCAGATCCTATTTACCGGTGCTAGCCGCCCTCCTCCTCTCGGGCTACATCCGCGAGGGCGACATCGTCGACCTGCCGGTGCCGCACCCCGCCGCGTGGCCTCAGACAGTAGCTCACGTCTACACTGGAAAAGGCGAGTTGACCGAGGCAGTCAAGGAGAATATTCGGTATCTTGGAGGCAGGATCTAGTTCAATAGTAGTGTAGCTAGGGAAAGATTAAAGGGCGCTGGATGGAGAAACGGGGCGTATCGGGGCAACGCGATTTGAGATACGGGCCTAGGTCTCTCTCTATTTCTTTTGCGGTTTTAGCAAGTTGTTTTGTTTGCTCTAAGCTTGTTTCATCGGTGGAGTGGTTTAGAGTTTCGGCGTGGCTTATTTTGGTATCTGTTGCTGGTTTAGTGTAGATGTTTCCTGTTTCCAGCTGGGACTGATCGATTCTATTTCAGATGTCTCGCGACTAGATTGTGATTAGCCTTGCCGAGGGAACGCCCAGTTCAATAGGGTCCTCCAAAGTTCAGACTTATGCCCACCTTCATCGGGGGGCCGAGTCAGGCATCAGGGATTGATGGCAAATAATGTTGCCTGTGCCTAATTCGACAGGTTGGGGAACCTTCCTCGGGGATCCCGTCACGCAAAATGTTGTTGATTTATATCTTCTAACGGGCTCACGTTATCTGCTCGATAGATTATGGTTCGGTCACATCTCGGTAACTCAGCAAAGCTGGCTTGGGGAATGGAGGAAGGTCAGCAAACAGGGTTCGCACGCATCAGCCCTATAGGGGAGAGGATGGAAATATCAAGTGCTACTCCAGGTGACAAGATGGTTGATGGGTGGTTGACGATGCCATAGGCTCGTCCCGCTAGAGGAGAGTAATAACTTCTTCTTCGGCTGAAGAGAAAGCCAGGGGGACCATTTCCGTTGCTGTTCTCCTGTCTGTTTCTTTATGCTTTGATGATAGTCCTCACTTACAGGCGGAGCACTCGAAATTCCAAGCTCGACACCCCATTCATCTACTCGTTGTACTCTTCTACCACTATCAGTCCCTGCGTGCTTCTCGGACCCTTCTGATTTGCGAATTCCGATTGCCGTGGACAACTTGTCCCGATCCTCCGCTTTGCCACCACATTCTTAATTCATAGGCGAGCGGGAGGGTAAGAGGCTGAGCTTAAAGACAACTCGTCCTATTGAAAGGATCAAACTTCGGATCGGAAATAAATTATCGAAAGATATATCCGAGACGACCGAGACTCTCAGGATGTACGGCCTGTTTTTTTTTTAATCTTCTGGCTGACGGGCGCTGGACCCAGTGAGGAAAGTTTGTCGATTCGATCAATTAATCAATCCGAATACTGATTTGATGTTGGAACATCGACGGAGTATCCGTTTGACACCCTCCCTTGAGTCGATGGCAGCACAGCGGTGTCGGCTTAGTGCCACTCTCACACATCAGTTGACGTGAACTTGGCCCCAGTAGTAGTTAATAGTCGATCCAAGATCGGATGCCTCTAATGTGACCATTGATGGCTCTTGGAAGCTCATCCCTTCCGAAATGATCGATGATACAACAAGCGTCAACCATGGCAACACCCTCTGAGGGGTCCATCCTAGAATGCGAAGTCTTTGTAGGGCTCCCTCCCTCCTTCTATGAGGCATGCGTGTGTGAGAGCACACCATCAAACTTCACCGTTCCAATGATAACCCAGTCTAGACCGCCTCGGATGGGGGGCCTTTGGCACGAGTAGAGAGGGCTTTAAACAGCATAAGCTTCGATTCTAAGACTGACCATATGGTTACCCGCTGCGAGTTTTCTTTTAAGTTGATCCTAGTTCAACTATTAAGGGTCGAGGTGGGTGGGTGAGGCGTCGAGAGGCTTTCAATAGATCCATTCCTCATTGTTCGTGTAAAAAGCCAAGGCCATGCCATGAGCTCCTGCGTATAATCTGATTTGATCAATCCCTCAAAAAGCTTTCACTTCCGGATATGCGTATATCGATTAAGGCCGGAAATAAGGCCGATTCATGGCGACAAAGTTCCGCCTCTTCCACTCTCAGGCTGGACGGCGCAGGGAGATAAGAGGCCATTAAACGCTCCTTACATCCTTATATCCATATTTCCTATCCTTGAGCGGGTGGCTAAAACTCTAACGTATTTCCCTTACTCCCGAAGACAAAAGACAGGACAGTCCGATTGCAATTGCGATTGCGACATTGATCATGTTTCCAGTTAGCGGGCGACGGCAAACTCAATATCACCTACTTTTCACCAATTCACCATCACCAACACACCACCGAGCCACGCAGTCCCATGGTGAGAAGGAACTCAAAAAAAGATGCTAAGAGCAATTCCCACTAAAAAGGATCAAAACTAGGAACCAGGCAGAAGCAGTAAGACGGGCAATTGTACGTCGCATAAAACAAGCCGGCCCAAATCCCCAAATATAGAAGGACTGAGCTGGATCCAGTGATGTGAAACCCCCGGAGGAAACAGAAACACTAGACGGAAAAGGGGGATATTAAAAAACAAACGCCCTGTTAGCTAGGAAAATACTACGCCCCGTGGATTCACTGATTCCTTCCTCATATCCGAAAATGCGCCATCTGGAGAAATAGAGAATGGAGAAGGGGGGATTTTCCCGCCTGGACAACTGCAGAGACAAAACAACGAATCCATCGAGGCGTGGTTGATTCGTGTCTCTCTCTAGTCTCTTACTCCCGTATCTCCGCTGTCTGTTCGTAGCTGGCGTTGGCTTCAAGCCATCCCGGAGGGCTCGCAGTAGCGCTTCCCTCCATCACAGCTTAGCGTCAACTTGCCCATCCCGGTGGGGGAAGGGGGGCGCAGGAGATGAGAAGGATCAGAAAAGCAGAAGAACATATAATAGAGAGGCAAAGTTGATGTCCAAGCTCGTCAAGGGTCCCCTCCTTTACCTTTTTTTCCCCGTCGTCGGATCATCTCCTGACTTTTGGCATCTAGACGTTTGTCAAACCTGAGCCTGGTGCCTGTTTGCTTGCGTGTTTGCGTTTTGTCTTGTCTTAGCTTGTTTGCTTCCCGGAAGACAAGACAAGAGGAAGCTCCCGGATCGGGGCACAACTTTAAGTGTCCGTTGACCGGCGCCATTGAAACTCTCAGAATATCCTCACCTGTTTCTCTGTCCACCACATCAACCTGCCAAACTTTCACCATACTTTTCAAACCTATACACATGCCGCCTTGCCAGTTCCTCTGATCGCTACTTTCAGAGATAGACTCGGTATCCTGTCATCTTTTAACTCTTTCCATTCCTCAAGAACGAACGCTTTCTTGAACTCGGCTTTACCTCGAACTCGACTTACGCTTTCTCTTCTCTTCCCTTCTCCTTCCATGTTATGCTGTTAGTCTGGATCTTACAGTAGGAGAAAGCTCCGGCAGCTTTCCTCGATTGCGTTTATGAGGAATCGTAACCAATCTCACTCCTAGCATCAACCCGCCTCTCGTCAGCACCACACCAACAACAGCAACCATCCTCGATGACTTTACATTCTTCAGCACCACCTCCTCCTTCACTACCCTCTCCGCCACGCCTCCACCGCCGCCACCCATCCTTCTCTCAACCCTCCGCCTACAGACCTCCCTGCCGCCGCCGCGCCACCACAACACCAGCCGGGTCCTCATCCGCTTCCTCCCACAGTTCCCCGACGACCACAACCCCCATAACCTCATCCACTGCCACATCCCCGGTCCTTCCGTACCTCGACGGGCCGCCCAAACCCTCCGGCCCCCTCGTCTGGATCAACGGCTTCCCCGGCGTCGGCAAACTCACAATAGCCCAATGGCTCCACCGCCTCCTCGGCGTAGACCGCTCCCTCATCCTCGACCACCACGATAACCTCAGCGTCTCCGGCCGGACCACACTACCCCCGACCCCCGAAGTGGAAACAGCTGACCCCTTTTCCACGACTTGGTGTTCGGCTCCCTCACCCTGCCCGGAAAGGACCAACGGCGAACACGGCCCCTCAACACCCTTAGTAGCGGACCTCCTCTCACGTCCTGAAAACGCCACGCACACCATCCTCGTAACAAGCTGCGCCGTCAAAAATCAAACCCAACCCTCCGACTCGCGCGCCCTCGACGATGAAGAAGGGGAGTGGGAGGAAAGCGAGGTCGATTCTGAGGACGGGGACGAAATCGCCGCGGCAAAGGCCATCGAGTCGACCGCCGAGCGTACGGGCCGGCTCTTCATCCCCGTTTACATCTCGTGCCGCGAGGACGAGAACATGCGGCGCGTCACGAGCGTCGAGAGGCGGTATAGCGGATCGGGGATGAGTTTGTTCAGCGCGAGGAGCGGGAACGAGGGCGAGGCGAGGAGCGTTAGGAAGGGGAGGAAGCTGTTTGCTTTTGAGGAGAGGAAGGGGTTGGAGGTTGACGTTACTGATATGGAGGCGCATGAGGCTGCGGTGGAGATTTTGGGTTATGTCCATTCGAGGGTGGAGGAGTGGAGGAGGGAGGTGGCTGGGCAGTGTTGAGAGGTGGACATGGTGAAGAGGGAAGGATTGCGACGACTGTGAGAGGGAGAGCGAGGCCAGAAAGGGATGAAGAGAAATGAATGAAGTGGAAGAGAGAGCTGGGGCTGGCAAGAAGAGGGAGGACTCGGGGTTGCAAGGGGGGATAGCCTTAGCCTTGATGGCCTTGGTGATGTTGATTTGTTTCTTCTTGCTTTCTGGAATTCTTGCTGGAAATGAGGCGGTTCATAGGCTAATACCCCCGGACATAGAGAAGGAAAAGGAAAACTGGAAGGAAAGCAACGAGAATAAAAAATAAAAAATAAAAAAAATAAAAATAAAAAAAAGAATTAGAAACAAGACGAACAAAAATCCAAAAGCATATCCACATCCACAACTGATACCCTGAAGGTAGCATCGCATCGTCTCGCATCGAAGGCCTTAGCCGCATGCCCTCCTGGCCCCAATCCTTCTCTCTCTCGTCTAGAACCCAAACTCCCTTACCTGTACGCCAGCCTGTCCTCCATCCCCTTTCCCATGCAACCCTATGCCGGAATGTCTCCCCCGGCGATATACATCAACGCCCCCCATCCCCACATCCGCATGCTTTGCATCTTTGCATGCCTCCTCGCCGGTCTGACTTTATGAAAAGCGGGAACGCGCTACAAACACCCTGCATGGTCGTCGATCGCCAAGGAAACGTGGGGCAATGC